TTAATTAACATTTGACCAACTTAATCCAAAAGAAGATGTAATGTTAGTAACCTTTTTTTAAAAATATTTCAATTAAATATAATGTAAATAAATCAAAATATTTATTACATTTGCTGTTTGACTAAGAGGATATATAGGAAATATTTAGATTAAGCTTTATCCATTTGAATTGACACTTTTAAGAAAATACCAATCAAAAATATTCTTTATTTAATAAAAGCTTCCATAATTATAAAACCCGCTGTAAATTAATGTAGATTTTTATGTACTAGGATCATAAGTTCCAAAGTTACCTCTTTCATAAAGTAATATTTTATTTGTTTAAAGAAAAACAAATCTATCAGTTGAGCCTGACTATTGTCTAATAAATCTCCTACTAAAATAACCCGCAAAAAAATCTGATATATTTTAAATTAATAAATTTATTATTTATTTTATTAAAATATTTTTTATCTTACATAGATTGTACGTTAACTAAAATGATTAGTAGTTAAATATACTCACATAAAAACTGGAAGATATTAAGAAGATTGTGCTTTCTTCTATTTAATTCCATATTGCTTAACTTTAAATTGCTATTGAGCTACCAAGTTAAAGTTAGATAGTAGAAAAATCACTATTAAACTGCAAATAAGCATAGTATGCAATATTTTGTACTCCTAACCAAATAGTGGGATATGTATAACCATTTTTGTTATAGTAAACAAATTTTACGCTTAAAATTGCATCAGTTGTCTTATACCCATTCAATGCTTTAAGTTTATAAATAAGTATTCATAAAAAAAATAAAAAACTTTATGTTAATTGTGTATTTAATTAAGTAAGCAATTAATAAATTGTTTAATAAATTACACATTTTTAAAAGAGTTTTGTAAAGTCCCTTTTTGATGTCAATTATTTTTACTGCTATAATCTCTAATGATTTTCCAGCAATAAATATGATATCTTGAGTTGGATGTTTTGTGAAACATCTTTTCGCATCATTTTTTTAGACAACTTATGCTATTCATATTTATAAAAATTTAGATTCTACTTTTATTAATTAATATTAAGAAAATAAATTACAATCTGGAATATACCCATAAAATTAATAGCTAAGCAATTATAGATCTATTCCCCAAGAAATTACACCCATATCATTTGTAGTTAATATAATATTATCACCACTGCTAAGTGCATATATATTGGAATAGTATTGTACAAGACTAGAATTATCTGGAAAGGTTTGAAGTTAATTTGTGTTATCCATAACTTAAACTATTTATTACTTTACGAAGTCAAATATATTTAGTTTATTATAACCTTTAGTAAGGATAATGAAGTTTGTATTTTTTATAATCTGAATTGACTACAACTAGGGAGTAGAAAAAGAACTAATAACATTTAGAGTATAAGGATCTGCAAAGATAAGATTACCAGAATTTGCAACTACAATCTAGTCAGTTGCAGAGTTATATTAAAAGTCTAATATGTAATAGTCAGCTATTAATTTATTAAATATACTTTAGTTAAGAAGTAAAAAATAATTATTTTACTCTTAATAACATTGATGATCTCTCCAGAAATGGATGACATATCATTGTAGTAAACTATACTTGAATCATTACCTCCAGAAAATACTGTATTAATTAAGAGTAAATTCGTTTATGGTATTCTAAGAAAGTTTTTTATAGAAAAACCTTAAATATTCTAAGGATCTGTTAATTATTGTTAAAATAAGCTTTAAAAAGTAATTTATTTTGAGGTTATGGATTACTTTGGTATACTTGCAAAAGAGGACATTGTTATCCAAATATAATATTTAAGATAGAGATTAAACTTAGCAATAAGTACTTCATATTATTTATTAATATTTATTTTTTTAATTTTAATTAGTTAATTTTTTTTTTCTTAAATTATTTATTTTTGTTTATTTAGATGTGCAAATGTATTTTTAAATAATGGTTATCGCTATCATTTTTCTTTAATTATCAAGATTAAATAATTGTATTTTTAATTTGATTAAACATCATTTAATATTAAATTATTTAATAGTGTAAAATCCATCAAAAGCTAGAAATAGTTTAATAATAAATTTGCGGTAATAAATAATTTTAAGCAACCAATTATTTTTATAAATCAAAAAACCCTTAAATTTATAAAAAATTATATTTTTGGCATATTTAAAATTCTATAATTGATTTATATATGGATAGTTATTTAGCCTTGCACGAAACACCTATTTTATAATATATAACAAATTGATAGTATTCATTAATAAATATAAATTATTATTATTAAAATAAATTATTTTTTTTCAAATATTTATAATTTTATTTTATTTTACTTAATAAAAAGAATTGATTTTACTTAGTTTCTTCATTCACTGTTAATATCATATCACATATTGGCTTACTTTCAATTAGATTTTAGTCATCATTTCTTGAATTATTATTCAGCCAGGTATGATAAATTCTATTTTGAATTACTTATTTAGGGCAGTAAAAAGAATTAATATGGCACGCATTTTATTTACCTACTAGCCCATTTTCTAAAAAATTGTTGATCAGCAATTTTTTGATTCATTCTAAGGTTAATCTAATACTGATTATCTTTTTTGAAATTATTCTAAGTAAAATGTAAAAAGCAATAAAAATTGTAAAGTAAAAAGTTGTTGATTTTGATATTAAATAGTATGTTAACTGATATAATTAATTTTAAAATTCTATTCTATACTTGATACCCATTTTAATAAAACTTAGTCAATATTTTTTTCACTTTTTATACTGTATGAAAAAGTTTTTATTATAGTTGAACTATAAGCTAAAAACTAATTTATTTAACAACTGTTCAACCTTTAAAAAAACTAATTCATTAATATATAATGTTGAGGAATTTAATTACTATTTTAAGGTTAGTAACATATTGTCAGCAAATAAGATTTACTTGTATTATATTTGCATTAAAGTAAATTTTTCCATGGAAAAATATACTTCATTAATAATATAAAAATATATTAATTTAGTTACAAAATACTTAGTTTTTGTACTAGAACAGCTGGGTTTCATTTTATCTTCAAATTACTTTCAAAAGTAAAAATTTATTGATTTTTTGAAAGTATGAATGTCAAAGCTGATCAATATTTTAAATTTGTGTTTTTAATAATTATTACTTTCAAGTAGAAATGTTTGAGTTTGTTTAAAAAAGCACGCAAAATTGATAATGTTACTCATTAAAAATAAGTATAGATTAATAAAATTGCTAAAAACTTTATTTATCAATATTTTATTTTTGAGATTACATATTATCAAATTTTTTGATTATAAAATTTACAAATGCCCAAAAGTTACTCTTCAAATATTAAAGTAAAAGTTAATTTTTAAATAATTATTTTATAGGTTTATTAATATTTTAAAATCATGCTTTTTAATACATTTTATTAAAATATGATATTTGATTTAAAAAATAAAAATCTATTGTATAGCTATTAAAAAATGGTTTTAATATTTATTTTACTACTTAAAAAATGGTGAAACATTAAATTTTAATGGAAAAAATACTTTTAAACCATTTAAACCACTCAAAAAAAAAAAAAATCAACATTAATTCTTATTAGATTAATATATTAAAACTGATATAGAATTATATAATTAATTTACAGTATTACTAAATTTCTTTGTTGATGTTATCGAAAAATATAATTATAAATTTAATAATTAAATCTGCAAAAATGTAATTTATTTATGCTTTGCTTTAAGAAAACTCTATTCAATAATTTTAATAATACCTATTTTGTTAAAAAATTCTTAATTTATTTTTTATTTCTCTTTGCTTAATAATTTGATCAACTATTAAACCATTAGCATAAAAATCAATAATCTATGTATAATAGCGATTATAATTCTTTGATTTTAACAAAGAATCTACAAATTATAATCTCTTGTTTTTATAATTTTTTCTATATTTATATATTAATTGATTAAATTGTTTTGCTTCTGTTGTTCCAGTTGAAGCAATATTTATTTTTAAAATATGTTTAAAAACTAAAAAGATCAATGTTAATTCTACTTTAACTTATATGAAAGCAATAAGCTAAAGTTATTTTTAGCTAATAAATTAAAATATTATACAATATCAAAATTACTTATTAAAAAACCTAAATTATTTTTACTTTAAGTACATTCATGTTTTAAATTCCTGTCAATATCCTAATGCAAGAGTGTAAAACTTGAATTTACTATAACTAAATTAGAAAAATGTTTAATATTGTGTCAAAAAAAATTACTTTACGATTCTAAAATTTTTAAATATTAATTTCAAATAATAAATGATATTTAATAATTAATGGTGGAATTTTGTATCAATTAATATGTGTTTTAGGTATATTTTTTAGAATATAAATATTTATTTAAAAATTCATTGATGATAATTTTTTTTGCTCAGTATTGGCTATAATTTTTTAAAGTGGCTATTTTTTATAACGAGTGAATTAATGAACAACTTATATCAAAATGTCATTTTTTGAAATTGTGCTGATTCAAAAATGTAGGATTCTTAAGAAATTTGAGGATATAGATAATCATAGAAAATACGTGTAAATTTGTCCAAATGGGTTTATATTCTACTGAGTTCGCATTCTTATTAGCCATTATATGAAATGTACTTTTAAACAATTCTTATGCAACCAAAAAAGTTTAACTATCATTTTATTAATTTCAAAAAAATATTAACAAAATTTATAAAGTATGGAAAAAATATATTTATAAAATATTTATTTCACTGAGAATTAAATTATTTTTAGTGAAAATAAATAATTTAAAAATATTAATTTATCCAAATAAAACAATAATTTTTTTTAGTTTTAAAATGTTTAAATTTTTTTTAGGTAAATTTACCATAGTAAAAAAATTAATAAATTATTTCCTTTTTAATAAATTATCATTAAGAATATGTAATAAAATATAAAATACTTTTTAATAAATAAAGCATCATTTATTCAAGAGTAATTTATTATATAAATATCAACTTTTATCTTAGAAATATGTAATATTCTTTTATCCCTCTTAAAATTCTTGATTTATTTATTCTTTATCAATATCATCACTATCTTCTATATTCTCAATTATTTATCCTTAAATAATTTAACTTATATTTTATCCTTGGTCTGAATCTTAAGATTAAGGACTTTTAACTTGCTCATTTACTTAATTATCTTATTGGCTAGGTGTACTTTAGATTTTAATATTGCTTCTATTTTAAATGATGCTTTATTTTTATTAATAATAGATAAACTTTCTGGAATTGGCGCCTTAAGATAAAGTTATGACGTCCTCTTTTGAATCTATTAAGAATATATTTTAAATAAATAAATAATGAAAGATTTTTTAATTAATATTTTTATAAATTGAATAATTAATTACCTATCTTCATTTGCTCAGTCTCAAATGTTAACTTATTATCATTATACTTTACCTATTCTACTGTATCTTAATATTTACTATAAGATGAAACTATCACAATTGAGACATTTTATTCATCCTGTTTATCTTCCTCTCTCTTTTTTAAAGAGTTTATATTTTATATTTATAAATCTTCTTGCTACTTTTTTTATAGTTCGTTAATTTACAAATTATTAATTTTTTAGTTGCTGTCTTATTCTTCAAAAATATGTTTATATGATTCGCCTAATTTCATTTAAAAATCATAATAATTATTTTTCAATTAAAAATTTTAAATATTTAAAAAATTACATAATTATTTTTAAATAGCATCCAAGAAAATTTTTTTCTTTTCTTATGGTTTTAGAGACAAAATCTTCTTAAAAATTGTCTAGAATTTCTACTTTATTTCAGGTTTAATTTATTCTTTTTCACTTTTTTCAACAAATCTTTTAAAATAAAATATTCTTTTTGAAAGTGCTTTCACTATTCTGTGTATTATTGCCTTAATTTTCGCGATATAGCCTTTGATGATTTTGCTTAATATCTTACAAATAAACCATGAATTCATAATTATAATCATTCCAAACGAGGCATAAACGAAATAAAAGTAAGGATTATCATACATAAATAAACCAAAAAGAACTGTTAAAGCACATACATTTGTTGAATTAAAATCTATTTCATTTATTTCTGGCTCTTAGTAGGGATGGATTATCAAAGTAAGAATACCATAGGCAGCAATAATGATAAAAACAAGTATTCCTTTTGTAACAATGCTTTGAGAATAAAAATTCAAAACAAGAATTATTGCTAATTTCTCAGCCATCTTGACAAATTCCCAATAAAATGCATAATTTTAATATTCTTTATATAAAAATCCATATTTCAATTTAATTTCGCTAGATTCTAATTTATCTTTGTTTCTCCTTAACAAGAAAAAAAATATAGCAGGGATTACAAAAACCCAGAATAGTAGCATAGGAATAATAAGAGCCAAAATGTAGAATTAATGCTCTCTTGAATAGCAAACAAAAGACATATTAGATAGTATATAATTTTTATCACCTACTTATCGACATGAGAGCAGAGCTACTATTTATGCAACTAAATCAGGCTAAATATAAATTATTAAAAACATAATTGCGGTTGTTAAAATATACCAAGGAAATTTTTTGTATTAGCCTTTACATTTTTTGAAAAAGTAATAGATAAGCAACAAGCTTAAAAATATTAGTATATAAACTAAAGGAATCATTAAAGTAAATAAAAGTCTAAGATAAATAATAGGAATACTTGAGTTTAAATCCTTTAAAGCACAATCAAGAGAATTCATAGTTTTATTAATAGGCTGTCCAATTGTTTAAGGAAACTCAAAAATTCCTTTTAAATAAATATTTATTTTAATTGAAGAAATTAACATTAAATATTTATAGATATTTAAAAAATAGAAATCAAAATATTAAAAAAGATTTTTTATTTCAATAATTTATCATTAAAGTAATGTTAAAAAGTAGTGATCCATTCATTCATTTTTTAATGGAATTTAAATTCCCCCAATTCAAATGATGTATGAATTTCTCTCTTTTTTCCCCACAATAACTAAAACTAAAATAATTTTAATTAATTTACCATAAGGAATAGAAAGGTTAAAAGTTGCAATCGATCCTACGATTTGTATATAGTTAGTAAACATTTTAATTAAGATTCCTGAATTATCTTTATGTTTTATAAACTGTATTGAATTATTTTTTATGGAAGGTGAGTGCTAAGAAGATGCAAAATATTTGCTTTATTATGAAATTTTAGAAAATATATTATATTAAGTTGAAAGACTATGTTTCTTTTCGATTTGAGTTTTTTTTCTTTATAAAATATTTTTTTGTATTGCCAAAATTGCTACATTTTTTCTAAGAACTTCAACATCCCCTTTAATTGCTAAACACATTGAAAGTATAGTCCAAACTGTTACTAATATTAAAACCCAAAAGTTTCCTTTAATCTAATCACACCTTGTGCATTAATATTTTGCTGACTTTGCATAAGATTGCCCCCAATACTCACCAAAAATCTTTTATAAATTAAATCTTAAATATAAAATCAAATTAATTTATTTATTCACTTACATCACATTCTTCACAAAGAGCTCCAATATGACCTTCATAACAAATATGATTTCCAAAGCTACCACCTATACAATTATTTTGCATATTAGAACAAGCAATTAATATATTGCTTGTATTACTTTTTCTCCAATATCCAGAATTAGCTACTATATTTGTTCCTCCATAGCATGTAGCTCCTTAAGGACATTCTAAGCAATTAGAAACATTAAAAGAGTAATAATTTTAAGGACATATTTAACACTCAGTTACCTAATTTAGATTATTGATTTTTTCTCCAGGACCACATAGTCTGAAATTAATAAGAATATTAAAAGTGTAGTTTTAGATGAATTTTTGTGTTTTTTAATCTAATATGTAAATCTATTTAGAAGTAAAAGATATGTTAGCTGATGTACCTGGAGTTCCTATAATATTTATATTACTAAATTTAAAGGCTTGCATATTTTTATCATATTTTGCAAAAAGATCTCCACTTAGAGAATATGAGGATAAATCTTTGGTTTCTGGATCAAAATTAACATTAACTTAATATGTATTGTAATCATCTGAAGTGATTGGATAAATTAATTCATTTTTATTATTCAGTAACACAAATTAAATCTCAGATATATTAGCTCCACTCCTGAAATTGTTTATTACTATTTAGTCCTTTCGTACTACCCCATTATTAAACTATATAAATTAATCAAAATTCTTTACTCTCATCTGTGAAGGATATGAAATATCATCTTTTCCATATATCAAAATAGTATTATTAGTGATTATGTTGCTTTCTTAAGTGTCTATAGATAAATTTTATTGATAAATACCTCCTCCAATACTAGCTTTGTTGTTAATTATTTTTGAATCCTTCATTTTGATACTTTAATAAGCAGAATTTAAAATTTAAGAATCTACATATAGAGAACCTCCTTTTGTATTACAAGAATTTCCAATAAAGGTTGTTTTGTCTATGATCATAGAGAATTTCTGATTTAATTAAAAAAATAAATGATAAAATGCAAATATGATATAACTCATAAGATTACATCATTTTAAAGAGCATTTAAATATAAAGCTCCTCCATCATTTTAAGAAAAGCAATTTTAAAATTAAGTATTTGATATTTTGTTGTTATCATCAATTCCTTAAATGAATAATGCGCCGCCAAAAGTAGACTATATTTATATTTTTTAAAAACATTGTTAATTTGAAATTAGGTTTATTTTAATCATTTATAAAAGTTAAAAAAATTTTTTTATAAATAAAATGTTAATAAATATAATATAATATGGTTTAATTACTCATTAATTAAGGGACCGCTTATATTGAGGGCCAATAAATAAAGGGTACAAAATAAGCCTCCAAATAGTTGGAGGGTTCCCTTAATTAATGAGAAGTTATAGTATTTGAAAAATATTTACTTGAATTTCTTTAAAAACTGTGCTATCAATATTAAATGTACCTTTTGAAACTTAAATAGCTCCACCATTACAGTTAGAATTACATATAATATTAGAGAAAAGGCTATCTTAGCTTATAGTTAATATTGATTCTGATACTATAATCAAAGAAGATGAGGATATTTAAGGTATTTTATAAATATCTTATTAAATTAATCTTTTTTCAGATAGTTTTTAGCTAATGTTTTTAAATATTATCTAAGAAAGCTCTAATTAGCTTTAGATTGAATAAATTACACTTGTTGTAAATGAAGAATTTAGTAAGTATGTATTACTTATTTATATTAAAGAATTTTAAGAGCTGATTAATAAAGGAAAAGTTGCTGATGGAGATTCAATTTACAGGTTTGTAAAATTGCATTTATCAATACTTAAATTTGAATTTTATAAATTAGCTAGTGTTGATTGCTAAGAAAGACCTGTTTTATTCATATAAGAACTATAAGACAAATGGTTTGAGCTGAATTACTCTGATAAAATTTATTTTATGTCTTAAAATAATATATCAGTATTTACTACATCAATGAAGTAGCTATCTGAAACTCCCTTTACATTATTAATATATCCTCCTTAAAATTAAATAGTATTTCTCTTCTTTTATTGTTGTTTAGTATATTTTCTATTTAAAAAATGAATTTAGTTTAAATTTAAAAAAATTATCATTCTTAATAAAGTTCATTTAAATTATAAAATTGAGTTTTAAAAATTATTTATTTTAAATTGTTTTTTATAATTTAATTTTTTCCTAATTTGAAATATTTTTTAAACGAAATTAATTTACTGTTATGCTAGAGTTGAAGCATTACCCATTAAAGTATACAAATTTCTGAATTGACAATTGTCACAATTAAGATTAAGAATCTAGCCTCCATCATCTATGAAAATAGCACTACCATCTAATGAAGAGTACCCTTCACTAAATAGAGCATTAGTTAAATTAAGGTTTAATTGATCACCAAAACAGGTTAAATAAAGAAAACCACCTTTAGATGCTGTAGCTCTAGAGAAATTACTATTCAAAATAGTTATATTATGAGCCTTAGCATTTATCATACTTCCTTAAGAGTTGAATAAAGACAAAGACTAATCATCTGTAAAAGTAGAATTATTAAAAGTGACATTCTCTATAATTAATTCATGAGTCTAAATATAGGTAAAACCATATAAGGAGTTACTGTAAGAATCCAAAAATTAAGAATTTGTAATAATTATTAAACCAACATAATTTATAAAATATAATGCTGTACTTGAGAAGGTTAGTGTGTAATCTACACTCTTCAAAAATATATTCTAAAATATACAATTGTCTAATTCCACCTAGATTTAATACCAACTAACTATCTACAAAGGTATAGCTTAAGTATTTACATCGTTTTAATATAAATATAAATCACTAAAAAAGCCATCTGTTATTGTAACATTTGCATATTAAATATCATTATTTAATATAGATATCAGGTTTGTATCTTGAGCCTTTTTCTTAATAATTTAAATTTATGATAAATTAGCTGATTATACTTCTTTCATTTGTAAGCAACCTGCTGTTGTTTTGTTAGGAATTTGATTAATATAATTATCATCATTTACACAAGAAAATCCATTGATAAAGACTTAGTTTGCTTTCTCTATTAACCCAAGCTAAATGTCAAAATGATCAGTTAAAGAGGTATTTTATATCTAAAAATTGGCAATTTTACTAGTTTAAAAGTATTAAGCAATATTTAAATCTTATGCGCTTTGCTAAGATAACTAGTTATTTATAAACTAAACATTATTTAAAATCAGTTCATGAGAAGGGGATTATCTCATTGAATAAAATGCATCAAAAAATATGTAAGTAGTTCTTGCTTAAAAAGTATTATTTTAAACTAATATATTGCTAAATGAGAAAATTTGATTGGGTTGAGTTAGAGTTGTAACAGTTGAAAAAATTGATTTCTTGCAAAATTAATTATTTTTTATAAGTACACCATCAGCTGTGTATAATCCAGCAGAGAAAAGAACAGATGTAGTATCTTCTTCTATTTAGTTATTGTTAATAGAGCAAATATTATTTGAAATAGTAAGATTAGCTATCTTAGCTTGAATATTAGATTATTATTATAAAAAGCTAAATGTTTAACCCAAAGTAGAATTAATTATTGAAACGTTAAATAATTCAATCTATTTATTATTAAATCAAAATAATTTTAAAACAATGAATTATAATACTATATAAAATTAATTACCTAATTAGAATTAAAAGTACTGATAATGAATAAGTGATTTGTGAAATCTTCTTTTACTATTTCATATTTCTAAACTTACAATTAGGTTTATTCAATTAATATTGATTAACAACTCTTAGTAAAAGATGTTGAAATTAGATTAAATTATTAGATATTATTAATGATTACTCCTTGTTATATATTTTTAAATATCAATCCACAATTTGTTGATATAGTGTCCAATCCATAATATATTGCAATATCTTGCAATTTAATTTAGTAATAATTCTACAAATTCAAAGTGTTTTGGTATTATAAACTTGCATAAATCGCAGGTTAGCTACTCTAAAATGTCAATGAGATAATTTTGTTGAAATAAAAATTCATCAAATTTGGATTTAAATTCAAAAAGTAACCTGGTTAAATAGAAAAGTTTACACCCATATTTGACACTCCATTTATTATTTTTTGGTAATATTAAGCCTAATTTAATATTTAAATAAATTAGTATTTAACTAGATTTATTCTTTGAATTTAGAGGCACAAATTTACAAAAATATTTTACTTTAAAAAAAAATATTTGAAAATAATACAAAAAAAAATAAGTAAATGAAAAAAAAATAAATATTTAAGAGTAGATATAAAAAAAAGTATACTTTCATCATGGCAGTAAGAAAACTCTGAGATGTTGTAAATGGTTTGCTTTCTGAACCAGTACCATATAACCCATTTATATCATATTGATTAGTTGCATTAAAGTAATACTTTTAAGTACATTAAGTACAGAGACTAGAATCAGACAAGCAATCTTAGATTGAGTAAAAAATATTACCCATACTATATTAAACCCAAATTGTGTAATCGTTAAGCATGTCTATGTATATAAGTTTATCATAAATTTCTTTTTATTGTATCTGCAAAAAGTAGTCAAACTAAAGAGAATTTGTATTAAATTTGTAGATAAAAGCAATTCCTTAATTATAATCCCCTATTGCTACTAATTATGGTTTTGAAAAAGTTTTCAAAGCCAAAGGTTAGCTACTTAAAGTTAATAACTATTAATAATTTCCGGTTTAAAGATCAAATGAGTAAACATTATTATCATCACAAGAAATTATCAAAATTTTTGAATTTCCATAGTAAAAAATTTCTCCAATTTTAGAATTCTTGCATATATCTATCAGTTAAATTAAGATTTTAAAATTAAATTACTTTAGAATTTAAAACATCTAAAAAAATAAAAAATAATAAAAATAAGACACTGTAAAACCTCAAACTTTGATTCTTTGATTAAATAAAGGAATGAATTTTTTAAATTAAGGAAACTCAGTTTTTTACTTCAAATGTTATTTTAGTAGGAATTTAATTAAATTGAAACAAATTACAGTAAATAAATAAAAAAAGTTATTGAAAAGATATTTTAAAACTATTTATTTAATAAAATGTAGGTAAATATTAAAAAGTAAGTTAATTATAAATTAATATAAATTACTGAATATTTTAGAGTTTTTAAACAGTATATTTGGCATGCTTAAATCCCATGAATATATTGTACCTTAATTATCTACTCCTATTAACTCTAAATTGTTAGCATTCTCTAAGGATGCAATTGCAAATGCTGTTTAAATTGACCGGACATCAGATTAATCAGATGTTAGATTATACCTCTCTGTCGTAGATAAACAATTGATTAATTGGAAAAGATAGTTTTCTGTATTAGCTTTAGCAGGAAAAGCTAATGCTACCCAAAATATTCCATTTAAATAATAAGGATCTAAATTTTAATTAACATTTAACCAACTTAATCCAAATGAAGATGTAATGTTAGTAACCTTTTTATAAGTAAAAATATTTGTATTTAAGCAAGATGTATATGAATAAAAACATTTATTACGTATGTTGTTTGATTAAGTGGGTAAATAGGAAATATTTAGATTATGCTTTGCAGAATGTTTCCATTTGTGTTGGCGCTTTTATGAAAATACCAATCAAAAATATTTTTTATTTAATAAAAATTTCCATAATTTTAGATCCCACTGTAACTTAATGTAGATTTTTATGTATTAGAATCATAATTTCCAAAGTAACCTCTTTAATAAAGTAATACTTTATTTGATTAAATAAAAACAAATCTATCAGTTTAGCCTGACTATTATCTAATAAATCTCCTACTTAAATAGCTACCATAAAAATCTTATAAATTTTAAATTAGTAAATTTATTATTTATTTTATTAAAAATATTTTTATCTTACATAGATTGAACGTCAACTAAAATGATTAATAGTTAAAGATACTCACATAATAACTGGAAGATATTAAGAAAATTGTGCTTTCTTCTATTTAATTCCATTTTGCTTAACTTAAAATTGTTAATGAGCCACCAAGTTAAAGTTAGATAGTAGAAAAATCACTATTAAACTGCAAATAAGCATAGTATGCAATATTATGTATTCCTAACCAAAGAGTGGGATATGTATAACCATTTTTGTTATAGTAAACAAATTTTACGCTTAAAATTGCATCAGTTGTCTTATACCCATTCAATGCTTTAAGTTTATAAATAAGTATTCATAAAAAAAATAAAAAATTTTATGTTAATTGTGTATTTAATTAAGTAAGCAATCAATAAATTGTTTAATAAATTACACATTTTTAAAAGAGTTTTGTAAAGTCCCTTTTTGATATCAATTATTTTTACTGCTATAATCTCTAATGATTTTCCAGCAATAAATATGATATCTTGAGTTGGATGTTTTGTGAAACATCTTTTCGTATCATTTTTTTAGACAACTTATGCTTTTTATATTTATAAAAATTTTGATTCTACTTTTATTAATTAATATTAAGAAAATAAATTACAATCTGGAATATACCCATAAAATTAATAGCTAAGTAATTATAGATCTATTCCCCAAGTAATTAAACCCATATCATTTATGGTTAATATTATATTATCGCCGCTGCTAAGTGTATATATATTGGAATAGTATTGTTAAGGATTAGAATTATCTGGAAAGGTTTGAAGTTAATTTGTGTTATCCATAACTTAAACTATTTTTTATTTTACGAAGTCAAATATATTCAATATATTAAAACCTTTAGTAAGGATAATCAAGTTTGTATTTTTTATAATCTGAATAGACTACAACAAGGGAATAGAAAAAGTACTAATAACATTTAGAGTATAAGGATCTGCAAAGATAAGATTACCAAAATTTGCAACTACGATTTAGTCAGTTGCAGGGTTATATTAAAAGTCTAATATGAAATAATCAGCTATTAATTAGTTAATTTTAATTTAGTTAGGAAGTAAAAATAATTATTTTACCCTTAATAACATTGATGATTTCTCCAGAACTGGATGACATGTCATTGTAATAAACTATACTTGAATCTTAATTAACAGAATTTATTGTATTAATTAAGAGTAAATTAGTTTATGGTAATCTAAGAAAGTTTCTTACAGTAAAACCTTAAGTATTCTAAGGATCTAGTAAAGATTGTTAAAATAAGCTTTAAAAAGTAAATAATAAGTTATTAAAAATTACTTTGGTATACTTGCAAAAGAGGACATTGCTATCCAAAAATAAAATTTAAGATAGATATTAAACCTAGCAATAAGTATTTCATATTAATTATTAATATTTATTTATATTTGTTTAATTAATTAATTTTTTTTAAATAATTTATTTTGGTTTTTTTAGATACGCAAATGTATTTTTAAATGATGCTTATCTCTATTATTTTATAATCATTATTAAGATTACATAAATGTATTTTTAATTTCATTAAATATCATTTAATACTAAACTATTTAATAATGTAAAAACCATCAAAAGTGAAAAACAGTAAAGCAATATATTTCTGCTGATAAATCATTTTAAGTAACTAATTTTTTTTTTTTATCAGTAAAATACTAAATTTACAAAAAAATTATATTTTTGGCATATTTTATTTAAATTTGAGTGGATCTGATTATTCGAGTGGAATAAAATTTATTTTAAACATATATATACACTTTAATATATGTTTGAAATGTGTAAGAAAAACTTATTTTTAAAAAAATGTTTATTTTTTTAATTTCATAATTGATTTATATAGGGATAAATATGGTGCATTGCGCGAACTGCCTATTTTATAATATATAATAAATCGGTAACACTCATTGATAAAATAAATTATAATTAAAAGGAAATTATTTTTTTTTCAAGTATTTATGATAATATTTAATTTATATATTAAAAAGATTTGATTTTTTCTAAGTATCCTCATTCACTGTTAATATCATATATTGGTTTATTTGGAATTAGATTTTATTCCTCACTTCTTGATTTATTATTAAGACATTTCATAAATTTTATATGAGTTACTTATTTAGGGCAAGTAAAAACAATTAAAATTGCATGCATTTTATTTACCTACTAGACCATTTTCTATTCTATTCTTGATAAAGCAATTATTTAATATATTCTAAGGTAATTAAATAGAAATCTAATACTGATTATATTTTTTGAAATTATTATAAGTTAAATGTAAAAAAATCAATAAAAATTTAAAGTAAAAAGTTTTTAATTTATATAATAAATAGCATATTGACTGATATAATTAATATTAAAATTCTATTCTAAACTTGATACATATAAAGAAAACTTAGTCAATATTTTTTTTGCTCTTTTATATATATATGTAACATTTTTTACTTTAGTTGAATTATAAGCTAAAAATTAATTTACTAGACAAATATGAAGGCCTTTAAAAAAAAATTAATTCATTAATAAATAATGTTGAGGAAATTAATTACTAATTTAAGGTTAATAACATATTATCCAAAAAAAAAAAATTTACTGAATTGAATTTTTATTAAATTAAACATTTTCATAAAAAAAGTAAACTTCATTACATTATATGAAAATATATTAATTTAGTTATAAAATACTTAGTTTTTTGCACCAGGATAAGTTAAGTTTCATTTTATCTTCAAATTACTTTCATAGTAAAAATTTAGTTAGATTTTTTTTAAAGTATGAATGTCAAAGCTGATCAAAATTTTGAATTTGTATTTTTAATAATTATTAATTTCAAATAGCAATGTTTGATTTTGTATCAAAAAAGCAAGCAATGTTGATAAGTTAAAAAAAAGTACAGATTATTTATTTATTATTTTTTATCTATTCAAAAATAAATAAGTTTACAAACTAAAAAAAACAATCTTAATTCTACTTTAACTTAAATGAAAGCAATAAACTAAAGCTATTTTTAGCGAAAAATAAAAATATTTTACAATATCAAAAACCACGTATTAAAAAACAGGAATTATTTTTACTTTATAGTACTTTCAGGTTTTAAATCCTGACAATATCCTAATGTAAGAGTTTAATACTTGAAATTATTATAACTAAATTAGATTATTAAATAAAGAAATTAATATAATATTAAATAAATTTATATATTAGTATTTTATATATATTTATGTATTTTGTATGTAGTTTATAATTATTTAAATAAATTTTAATTTTGAGAGATATAAAATCTCTTAAAAATAATATTTATAATTAAATAAATGAATAATATTTATTAATATATTAAATTTTTAATCAACACCATAAATTTTAAATTTATTTTTAAAAATATTAATTTTTATAATACTCTAATAAAATGATGCCATAAGTCCATCATTCCAAATAATTTTAAAATATCAAATAAATATAAAAAAATAATACAATGAATACTTTTAAATATACTATTCAATATTTTATTATTAATCAATTTTTATTTTATAAATAAGTGACATTTTTATCTCCTTCATGCATGTCCAACTCTATTTGCTCATGATCAATAGGTTCACTTTCTTCAGACTTGCTATGACTGGAATCACTGTAGTTTTGTTGAGTATTTGGAATAATATCTTTAGAATCTCCCTCGTAATTTATCTGATCTAGCTTATTATCATTCGAGCTAGGTTTATTTTCAATTTATAATTGATTAAAATTTTATTCAGGATTTTTTCTTTATTTAAGATTAAAAAGCCTAGCATTTGAATCAAAATTGATATTCCTATTTGTGAATTCTTCTTTTGTTTCTAAATTTAAAAATTAAAATTAGTTTTAATAAAGAGCTTTAAATTTAATTTAATTACCTTGGTAAGTATAGTTATTATCTAATTTAAGCATTTCAATTTCATTGACGTTATTGGTATCAGAAATTTTTAATTACTCTACTGTGTTTCTGTAATTAATTTATGGTGAGATTTCAATAGATATTTCTTTCTAATTTAAGCTATCTCGCTAACTTTTTTATTGCAAATTTTACTTGACCTCTAACTATTTATCTGGCTGTTGATTTTCTTATTGTTTATCTTTATCCACTAAATGTATTTCTTCATCTTCGTGTTCTCCAAAGATGTGTTTATAAGATTCAACTAAAATATAAAAAAATTAGTTTAAATAATTTGTAAAATTTAATAAAATAAATACCTATTTGCATTTAAATAATATTTAAGAAAATCTTCTTCTTTTCTTATGGTTTAAGAGCTAAAATTTTCTTGAATAAAGCTTAATATTTTTGTTTTACTTCAGGCTTCATTTGCTTTTTCTATTGCTCTTTCTTCTTATATCTCTTAAAGAAGGATATTTTCTTTGAAAGAGCTTCAACTATTGTTTCTATTGCTGCCTTGATCTTTGGAATATAACCACTAATTATTTTGCCTAAGATCTTAAAAATGAACCATAAATTGATTATTACAATCAGTGCTAATGAGGTGTACACGAAATAGAAGAACTAATTGTCATACATAAATAAGCCCAAAAGAACTGTCAAAGCGCATACATTTGTTGAATTAACATCAATTTCATTTATATCTGACTCTTAATAAGGATGAATCATCATAGAAAGAATTCCGTAAGCAGTGATAACAATAAAAACAAGGATACCTTTTGTGACAATACTTTAAGAGTAAAAATTTAAAGCTAAAATAATAGCTAATTTCTCAGCCATTTTGACAAATTCCCAATAAAATGCGTAATTTTAATATTCTTTGTATAAAAATCCATATTTCAATTTAATTTCGATAGATTCTAAGTTTTCTTTGTTTCTTCTAAGCAAAAAGAATAATATACCAGGTAGTATAAACACCCATACTAATAACATAGGAACAACAAGTGATAAGGCATATAAGTAGTGCTAACTAGTATAACACACAAACGAAACATTAGACAAAATATATTTAGTGTCACCAATTTATCTGCAGGAAAGAAGAGCAATAATTTAAGCAACTAGGTCAGGTTGAATGTAAATAATTAAAAACATAATAGCAGTAGTTAAAATATACCAAGGAAATTGCTACTTCTCCTACTTGCTCTTTTTACATTTTTTCACTAAATAATAAATCAGCATACAGGTTAAGAATAAAATCATATAGACAACTGGAATCATTAGAGAAAATAAAAGTCTAAGATATATAATTGGCATACTTGCATTTAATTCTTCCAAAGCACAGTCAAGAGAATTCATAGTTTACTTTAGAGGCTATCCTACTGATTAAGGAAACTCAAAAATACCTTTTAATTAATTATTTTTATTTAAATAGTGAAAAATATATCAAATAAACTTGATAAAGTTAAAAGTAATCCATAAATAAAATTAAATTATAAAAAGAGAATAGAAACAAAAATTATTTTTAAAATGAAAATATTAATTGAAAAGAAATAGTTTAGAAAATTCAAAAATGTAAAATAAAAAATATTTATTTACCTGAAGGAATTGAAAGGTTAAAAGTTGCTATCGATCCAACAATTTGAACATAGTTAGTTAACATTTTGATGAAAATTCCAGACTTGTCTTCATCAGTTTTAAATTGCATGCCTATACTCTTTTAGGATGGGATTTATGGGATTGATGTCCTAGTTGGATATTTGTTATCTATTTAACTAAAAGAAAATCTGTTTTTTTAAGTCATAAAATTTTGTCTTTTTTCTTTGCTAGTTAGGCTTACAGTTTTTCTTCTCATCATCATGTGCTTTTAAATAGTCAAAACAGCTACTTTTTCTCTTAAAACATCAACATCTCCCTTTATTGCTAAACACATAGAAACTAATGTCCAAACAGTCATTAAGACAACTATCCAAACATTTCCTTTAATCTAATCACATCTTGTACATGAATATTTTGCTGATTTTGCATAAGGTTTACCCCAGTGCTCTCCATGAATCTTTAAAAATAAAAAGTTTTAAAATTAATATACAACTATTTATATAAATTACATCGCATTCTTCACAAAGTGCTCCTATGTGACCTTCGTAGCAAATATTGTTACCAAAACTACCGCCAACACAGTTATCAGGTAGATTAGAGCAATCAATTATTATGTTACTGATGTTAGTTTTTCTCCAATACCCTGCATTTGCAACAACATTTGTTCCTCCGTTGCAAGTAGCTCCTTGTGGGCATTCTTAGCAATTTGAAACATCAAAAGAATAATAATTTACAGGACAAATTTAGCACTATGTTACCTGATCTAGCTTTGCAATTTATTCTCCAGGGCCGCACAGTCTAAACTGAATAAGAATATTGAAAGTGTAATTTTAAATGAATGTTTATGTATTTTAGTCTAATGTGTAAATCTATTTAGAAGTAAATTAAATATTAGCTGATGAACCTGGTAAACCTGTAATGCTAATATTATCAAATTTGAAAGCTTTGAGCAGAGGATCATATTTTGCGAAAATATTTTCACTGACTGAATATGAGGATAAATCTTTGGTTTTTTGATCAATATTAACATCTATTTAAAAGGTGTTGTAATCTTCTGATGTAATAGGATAAACTATCTCACTTTTATTGTTTAGCAATACAAATTAAATGTCAGATAAATTAGCTCCGCTCCTAAAATTATTGATAACAATATGATCTTTATCTACAACACCGTTATTAAGCTGCAAAAATGAATCAATATTGCTAACTCTCAGCTATGAAGGATAAGAAACTTCGTCACTTCCGTAAATTTAGCCAACATTACTTGAAAGAACGTTATTTTTTTATGTGTCAACAGATAAATTCTACTAATAAATTCCACCTCCAATACCTGCTTTATTATTAATAATTTTCGAGTTAGTCATTTAGACACTTTATTGAGCAGAATTTAATATTTCAGAACTTATGTACATAGCACCACCTCTTACATTGCATTCGTTTCCGTTAAAAGTAGTTTGATCCAAGTTAAGAGAAAATTTCTATTTTATTTAAAAGTTATTTATTTTTTTTAAAATAAAGGAAAAATAAAATGCTTACATCATTTTAAAGAGCAGTCAAATAAATTGCTCCCCCATCACTTTAAGAATTACAGTTTAAAAATTAAGTATTTGATATTTGATTTGTGTTATTTATTCCTTAGATAAATAAAGCGCCTCCAAAAGTTGACTATTTTTAAAAATAGTTATTTTTTATTTATTTATCCACAAAATAAACAAATTTTAGTAAAATAAATTATATTTAAATGGAATTTTTTAAAATATCAAAATTTAAAGTAATTTACTTGAATTTGTTAGAAAACTGTGTTTTCAATATTTAGAGTTCCTTAAGAAACCTAAAATGCTCCACCATTACAGTTAGTATTGCATTATATATTAGAGAAAAGACTTCCTTGATATACTTTAATTATAGATTAAGTTGTAACTATCAAAGATGAAGAAATTGCCTAAGGTGTTTGATATATATCTTACTAAATCAATCTACTTTAAGAGAACTTTTAGCTAACATTTTGGACAGTTAATTAAGAAAAATCTAATTAGCTTTAGCTTGAATAAATCATACTTGTTGTAAATGTTGAGTTCAGTATTTAACTATTGCTTATTTTTACAGATGAGTTTTAAGAATTAATTAACAATGGGAATGTAGCAGATTGAGACTCAATATAAATGTTAGTAATATTACATTTATTTATTACTAAATTTGAATTTAGTAAATTAACAAGTGTTGACTATTATGGATTTTTTGCTCTGTTGATAAACTAGCTATGAGCCATTGAGTTTGAACTAAAATCTTCTGATAGAATTTAGTTTATATTTTAAAATTATATTCCTGCATTATTTACATCAATAAAGTAGCTATCTGCTATTCCTTTTACATTTTTAATATATCCTCCTTAAAACGAGATAGTATTCTACTAATTAACTTGCTGCTCTGCGTATTTTCTATTTAATAAAATTTTGTTAGTTAAATGAAATTATTGTAATAAATTTAACAAATTTAATTTGAAAAAACAGCTTAATATTTATTTTATAAATACAATTTATATTTTCAAAATAAAAACCTTTATAGCTATTTTAGATTTTCATTACTTGATAAAATTAATAGTTGTGTTAATAATAATATTAATAATATTTACTGTGATGCAATAGTAGAAGCACTGCCAAATAGAGTATATATATTACTGAATTGACAATTTTGGCAATTCATCTAAAGGATTTAGCCTCCATCATCAATAAACACAGCTCCACCATCTAATGAAGCATACCCTTCGCTAAACATAGTATTAGTAAAATTAAGGTAGAATATTTCACCAAAAGAGACTAAATATAGAAATGCTCCTTTAGATGCTGTGGCCTTTGTGAAATTAGTTTTCATTATAGTTATATTTTAGGCCTTTGCATTAATCATGCTTCCTTGAGAATTGAACAAAGACAAAGAATTATCGTTAGTAAATGTAGAGTTATTAAATGAAACATTGTCTATTGTTAATGTATAGGTTTAAATGTAGGCAAATCCATATAGAGAGTTACTGTATGAATTTTAAAATTGGCTATTTTTAATAGTTATAGAACCAACATAGTTCAAAATATATAGTGCTGTACTAGAGAAGGTTAAAGTGTATTGGATACTCTTCAAAAATATGTTTTAAAATGTACAATTATCTAAAACTACTTGGATATCATAACCGCTGACAATATACAAAGGTATAGCTTCTGTATTTACACTATTTTAATATAGTTATAAGTCACTAAACATACCATTTGTAATTGTTAAGTTTGCTTGTTAGACTTCACTATTTTGAATTTTTATTAAATTAGAATCTTAAGATTTTTTCTTAGTGACTTAAATTTAATTAAAGTTGGCCTATTATATTTCCTTCATTTATAGACATCCTGCTGTAATTTTACTGGGAATTTTAGCAAGATATTCGTCATCATTTTAGCAATAAAATGTATCTATTTAAATCGAATTAGCATTTTCTATTAATCCAAGTTAAATGTCAAAATGATCAGTTAGATTAGTATTTTAAATTTATATTTTGGCAATTTTGCTAGTCTAAAAATATTAGGCTGTATTTAAATCTTCACTACTTTATTAGAATAGATGATTATTTACAAACGAAACACCATTTAAATCCAGTTCATGAGAAGGAGATGCTTTCATAGAATAAAAAGCATCAAAAAATATGTAGGTAGTTCTTGCCTAAAAAACATTATTTTAAACAATTACGTTGCTAAATGAAAAAACTTAATTGGCTTGAGTTAGAGTTGTAACTGTAGAAAAGAATGATTTTTTACAAAAGGTGTTACCACTTACAAGCATGTTATTAACTGTGTACTGTCCTGCAGAGAAAAGTACTGAAATGATATTGTCATCTTAATTTGCGTTATCTGAGCAACTATTACCCGATAGGGTAATATTTTAAATGTTAACTTGGATATCAGATTATTACTATAAATAGCTAAATGATTGTCCCAAAGTTGAATTAATTATGGAAACATTAAATAATTATATCTATTATATATAATTAAAAAAATGTGATATTTTAGATGAATAATTATTTGTAGAAATTACTTGAGTAGAGTTAAAAGTATTAATAACTGACTAATGATTTGTGAAATCTTCTTCCACTATTTCGTATTTCAAAATAGTTAACTAAGTTTATTCAACAAAGATCGATTGACAGCTTTTAGGGATGGAGGTTGACAATAAAGTAAATTACTAGATATTATTAATGAATACTCCTTGTTAAATATTTTAAAATATTAATCCACAATTATTTTATTCTGTGTCTAATCCATAATAAATTATAATATCTTAGATATTTATTTAATAGTAATTCTACAAATTTAGTGTGTTTTAATATTCTAAACTTGCATAAGTCCCAGGCTAGCTGCTTTAGAAGGTCAATTAAATGATTTTGTTGAAGTCAAAATTCATCAAGTTAGGATTTAAATTCAATAAGAAGCCAGGTTGTATAACAATATTTACACTCATATCTGAAACTCCATTTACCATTTATTTGTAATATTGTGCCTTTTTTCATATTTAAAAGATTATCTTTAATTTTTTAATCTTTAATTAATTGTATCAATATATTAAAAAAAAAAGTAATAAGCTAATAAATGAAAATAAATAATTACTTTGATCATAGCAGTAAGAAAATTATCGGAAGTAGTAAATGGTTTATTCGTAGTACCTATTCCATAGACACCACTTTAATCATATTTATTAGTAGCCTAAAAGCTATAAGATTGTGTACACTAAGTGCATAGCTTTGAATCTGACAAGCAGTCTTAAATTGAATAGAATAAATTACTAAGACCAAACTATACCCAAATAGTGTAATCATTTAGCATTTCAATGAAAATAATTTTATCTTATACTTTCTTTGACTGTAGCTACAAAAAGAAGTCAAATTGCAAAGATGTTGTGTTGAATTTGTAAATAAGAGCTATACCCTAATTTTAATCACCTATAGCTACCAACTATGGCTAAGAAAATGCTCTTAAAGCTAATGGTTAACTACTTAACTTAGAGAGGAGTTAATAGCTTCCTGTTGCCAAGTTAAAAGAATATACATTATTATTAGAACAAGAAATAATCAAATATTTGCTATTTTAATAGTAAAAGACTTCTCCAATTACAGAATTAGTACAAATGCCTTTGATTTTTAAAATTATTAATTATTTAATACTTTTCAAATAAATTTTAAGATTAAGAAATTAATAGCTAAAATAGTTAAAAAATAATATTAAAAAATAAATATATTTAAATGATTAAAGTAAGGTAAATAAAATTAATTAATTAAGATAAATTAAAAATAAAAAATATTAACATGTATTTTATGTATTTAAAGAATAATTTATTTTAAATTATAAATGATTTAATAAATAAATAAATAAATAAAATATTTTTTACTGAAATTTATTGAAGACTTAAAGGGTATGGTTGGTTAACTCAAATCCCATGTATAGATAGTACCTGCATTATCAACTCCTATTAGCTCTTAGTTATTTGCATTCTGTAAGGAAGATATTGCAAAGGCTGTTTATATAGATGTTACATCAGTTTGATTTGACGTTAGATTATATCTTTCTGTTGTTGACAAACAATTTATGAGTTGGAAAAGATAGTTTTCTGTTTTTGCTTTATGAGGAAATGCTACTGCGACCCAAACTTTACCATTTAAAAAGTAAGGGTCTAAATTTAAATTAACATTATACCATTATAATCCGAATGAAGATGTTATATTAGATGTCTATTTTTAATAGCAACAAATTAGAAAAGTCAAATAAATAAATAAAATAATTCTTACATATTCGTGTTAGTTTAATGGATATATAGGGAAAATCAAAGCTAAACTTTATGTTTAACCATTCACAACTGTGCTTGCTTTGACAAAATACCAATCGAAGATATTTTTTATTTAATAGAAGGTGCTAAAAGTTTAAAGGTGACCAATACTTAATGTAGGTTTTTATGTATTTACATTATACATACCAAAATTTCCTCTATCATAAAGCAATAACACGTTATTATCAAGGAGAATAAATCTATCCGTTTATCCTTATTATTATCTGATAAATCTTCTGCAATAATTATTTCCATAAACATCTATTTAATGTATTCAATTTTAATAAATTTAAGTTTAAAAATTAACTTACATAAGTTATAGGAGAACTAAAATGTTTAATAGTTAAAAATAGTAATATAATACAAAGAAGAAATAAAGAACACTGTATTTTCTTCTATTTTGTACCATCTATAATAGCTTTTAACATCATTCCACCCATAATTCGTAATATATGCAGAAGAAAAATCACTGTTGAATGATACATAAGCATAGTATATATACTGTTCTTCTCCTACCCATAAGCAAGGGTAAGGAAGTCCATTGTAATTAAAGTAAACGAACTCAATGTTAGTAAGTACATCAAGAAACTAATAGTTATATAATGCTAATTTATATAAGATGAGAGTTGATAAATGAAATTCATAATAAATATTAATTCAATTTGTAATAAGTAAATTACATGTTTTAAATAGAGTTTTGTAAAGACCTTATTTTGCGTCAATTATTTTAACTGCAGTAATTTCTAGGTATTTTCCTGCCATAAATAAAATATCTTCAGTTGGATGCTTTGTGAAAGATTTATATCCATCTTTTTCAGCATAAACTAAGGCTTTTAAAATATATAAATAATATTGTTTATTTAGTTATTAAGTTCTACTTTCATAAATAGAAAGCAAAAAAATAAATAATTAGATAGATATTATAATAATATTTACAATCTTAGATATACCCATAGAAGGTATAGTTCAATTATTTAAGGTCTATTCCCCAAGCTATAACACCCATATCGTTAGTGGTCACGATTATATTATCACCATTTTTAAGTGTATAAAGATCAGAATAATATTGATATAGCCATTAATTATCAGGAAAGACTAACAATTATGATGTATTATCCATCAATAAGACAACTTGTTGCTAAATAAAATCAAATATTTATAATTGATTAAAATAGTTAGTAATAAGTATATAGTTAGTTCCTTTTATAAATTGAATTGTCATAAGATTTGGAATAGAAAAAGAACTCAAAGCCTTCAAAGTATAAGGGTCTGCAAAGATGAGGTTGTCATAATTCGAAATGACAATTTAATCAATCTAAGAGTTGTAAAGCATTTCTATTATCACATAGTCGGCTTTTTTTTAATTAACATAATAAGAAATAAAAATTTTAATAATATCCATTTACGCTTGATAACATTGATAATTTCACCAGAAGAGGAGGACATATCGTTATAATATACTATACTCGAATCTTAATTTTACTAAAATATTGTATTTATAACCAGCACATTAGTTTGAGGTATTCTTAGGTAATTCTTTACCACAAACCCTTAATACTTCTAAGGATCTATTATTTTTTAAAAAATTAATATTCAACAAAAAGACATTTACTGGACGATATAAATTACTTTCATATGTCTGTAAAAGGGGACACTGACCACAAAATATGAAATTAATGAGAGTGATCAAACTTAATAAGAAGCTATTTATCTTGCTGAAGTTCATTTTCTTAATACTAATAATTAATATGTGTTTATCTCTTTTTTTAATTAATTAAAACTTATGTAATTTTACAAAGTATTGATCCTATTTATCTATCTCTTATTTCGTTTTTGTGATTAACTAATTAATATTTTTGATGTTTTCTATTTTAGAAAAAATCTATACTACCTAATTCTTACTTTTTTTGATTGATTTTTCAATCGATTGATGAAATAACTCATAATTTAAAAAAATTAGATTGCTTTTTGTTTTTGGATTCAAGCATAGTTTTTATCAACAAAGATATCTTTTTTGTCCAATTCTTTTGATTGCTTATAAAAATTAACGCACTATCTTAATTATTTAAAAATCATCGATCGAAAAGAAAATTTGAACACTTATAAAGATTATCTTGTTCATGTACCTATCAAATATTACATATTTAATTAGATATTTAGAATAGTTTCTAAAAATTGAAAGTAATTATTTATAATAAACAGCCCATTTTCTATCTAAAATAATATTTTAGAGAAATATAAAATTTTATTTTATAATTATTTCTTTCTTTAGTACTAGTAAATTGAAAGATAAATAGCTATAATGTTTTTAATTTTATTTTTAATTATTTAAAATAACTGAAAAATTTATATTATGTTAATGAAAATGACATAATTGATTATATAAATTTTTAGTTTAGCAATGTAATAATATTCATATTTTAATATATTTCAAATAATATAAAGGAAAACATACTTTTTACTTAATTATAATAGAATTAAATATATATTAAATTTATTTTATTGTGTTAAAGTTAAATATTTGTTAAGTTTATTTTATCGCTAAACTAACTCAAGATATCTTACATATTTAAATTTAAAAATGGAATTTATACTAATTTTATAATTTAATCATATTATTAAAATCAGTTAAGTCATAGTTGTATATTGCTTGGATTACTGTAATTATATTTATTTATTTCTAAAAAGCCAATTAATTAATAAATAAACAAATATTAAGAGATATTATTATTTTTATGTTTAAACTGGATTTGCTTGATTATTGATTTATTAATGAAAAACTCGCTTTGAGTTTGTGATTAATCTTCAGAATTTATTAAATTAGATTGATATAGATAGATATTATTTTTTCTTAACCAGTTATTCGTTTTTCTCCTTAATTTATGATAACAAGTGAATTTTTTTTAATTTTGATTACAGAAATTAAAATTTACAACAAAATACAGATAGTCCAGAAATCTATATCAATGGTATTTTGATCAAAATTTAAATTTTTGTTTTAAAAATTACAAAACCTTATATTTTTATCTTAGAAGGTTAGTGCTTATTTATTTTATGAACAATTAAATTGTTATTTTTGAATATTGCTTACTTAAACGCAATAAATAAATATTTACTATATTTAATTAAATAAAATCATTTCCAAAATTAGCTTAATAAATTTATAATTTTAATTTAACTTATGGTAAAAATAAAAAAATTTCTTTCTGAATTCACATTTTATAAAGTTGTTTTTTGGAAAAAGTTATGTAAATTATATTTTCATTTAAATTAAAACGAATGTCTTAAATAATTATATATTTCTAGCTATAAATGTATTCATCTAAATGAATAAAAAACTTAAAAAATATAATCATATATTAATCAAATTTATATTAAAAAAACACAAATAAGGTAAAGGTTCATATATTAAGACCGGTTTTAAAAATATATTCATTATTTCAAATTAGTTACACCAAAATAATAAAAAAGCAAAAATATATTTATTTTTATTTCTTTATTAATATTTTGCTTTTTCAAAAATATCTTTCTTCTATTCATCTAAATATTTTGAATAGTTATTTTATGTTTGCATCGCATATAATTTTGTGATTTAAATACTAAATTTAGAAAGTTTTTTTAAAGTTTATTAAGAGTTTTCTTAATATTTACAAATTATTTACTATTTAATTTGGTTAAAATATGATTTTATTAATTAAATGAATAACTGAACATCGCTTCATTTAAGTTAATTAATAATAAACTAAAATATTTATTTATAAAATAAATTTATCTCTTGTTTTTTTAATACCAGCCTTTGTTAATAAATTTGAGTATTTTTTGTATCTAATATATAGTTTTAGATTACTAAGCAAATGTTATAAATAGATAATGTAAGGGTTCAGCTATTTGTTTGAATTATTATTTTTTAATAATGAAATATAATTAACATTAAGTTTTTTAAAATAAATTATTTTAACCTATAAATACATATTTTTGCTTTTATTCTTACATTTTATAGTAAAGAATTACTAATTGATTTAAAATTAATTACATTTTCTTTCATTTATTGACTATTTTATCAATCATGTTTACTTTACATTTTGATTGAGCTTTTTGTGCTTTTCAATACAAATTTTTTTAATTTGTTACCTTTTACTATTTTTTTTTTATGAGGAGATACTTTTTTCTTATATTTTATGAGTTTTTTTATTTAAAAACTAAAATATTATTTTGCTTAAATTAGATAATTAATATTTATTTTTTAACAACTTAACTATTTCTTTATTTCTTTACAAAAAATAATTAATCTAAAAAATATTTTTTCAAAAAAAGTAATATTTTTAAATAAATAAAATTAAGATGAATTTTCTTTTAAAAAAACTTAACATATTTATTTATAATTAATTTTTGTATGCAATTTATGGATTTATATATCACAATAAGCTCAATTAGATTAAGAATTTTCTTTAACTTTGTACTGTAATGGCTCTTCAGTATGATGAATGCTAACTGAATTCTTTTCCTTGCTTTCTCTTTGCAAATTCTGCTATTTATTAAAAGTATTCTATTCGTTTACAATGGAGTTTTTAGGAAAATTAGCTTATTCTAAGTTTTAAATATAGTCTTTGAAATCCATAATTCCAGCTTTTTATAAAAAATAATTTTAAAATAATTTATTTCAAGAAATATTTTACATTAAATTTCATCTTTTTCTTCTTTATTTCCAATTGCATCACTTTACATTAATGAATTATGTTTTTCATCGCTAGTGAAAATATGAGTATTTAATTTCAAATCAGTATTTGCTCTTTCAGTAGGAATATCGCCCATAATCTATTAAGGACTTAAACTGAGCTATTATACCATTTATTTTTACTAACACTCCAATATTATATTTGGGCTACAAATCATACTTGCAGTATATTATTTGAGACCAACAAAAGTTGCATTATCAGACAGCTTTAAATCTTTATTAATTTATTCTAAAGCATTCGACTGTTAAGGACTAAAAAGCAGTAGCTGTTTATCATCTTGTGTGGTTCTTAAGCTTTAATAATCTAATTTATCAAATTTTAAAAATAAATTTAAATTTTAAATATAAAATATTTTACCTTTCATTAGTTTTAGAGTTAAAAATAACTTGTCTCTTTATGACCTATCTACTGTTGTCAGCTTTTTAAATATTCCACTTAATTTTTACTTTAGAGCAGGATTTATTTCAGAAGCTCTCTTCTTTCCAAATTTCTATAAGCATCTTTATATAACTGGATACTTAGATTCTAGTTTTTATAATTTACTTAGCAATAAATCTTTCTTTACTTAGATTATTCTGTAAATAATCTGCATTAAAAACAAAATATTAAGTAAAATAACTATTATAAAACATCCAATTTAGAAATATATATAAGGGTTGTTATAAATAAATCCACAAAGAAGCATAGTATATGCACAGACTCTGGTAGAATTTCTATCTATTTAATTGAGCTAATCTAAAGAATATGGATTTACTCTAGTAGAAAGTACTCCATAAAATACAATTATCAAGTAAATTAGCACAGCTTTGACATTTATGGCTTAGGAGTAAAAATTTAGTACCAAAATAATTGATATTTTTTGTATTATCTTTATAAATTCCCAATAATAAGCAGTTTCTTTGTACTCTTAATATAAAAATCCATATTTAAAATTAGTTTAAATATAGTTAAGACCAAATCTCTTTTTGTAAACATAAAGCTACCTAAATAAGAAGAGAGGCAATATGATAACAAAAAATATGAGCAAAGGTAACACTAAGTATAAGCTAAATTTTATATACTGATCATCGTAGCATTCATAATTCATGTTTGCTAATATATATTAAGTATTACCTACAGTTCTGCAAGAAAGAAGACTTATCATCTGAGAAACTAAATCAGGCTAGAGGTAGATGAATAAAAATATAAAAGTAGTGTAAATGTAATATTTATAAAATTTCTTCATTTTATGAATACACTTTTAACTTATAACTTCGACAATGCTATATAGAATTATAATTCCAATTGGTGAAATAACAGAAATGACCAACTTTAAATAAATTATAGGAATATTAGAGTGATAATCTCTTAGAAGGCAGTCAAAGTAATCAATTGAAGATTTTAAAGGATTTCCAAAGTAAGTAACTACTTCAATTATTTCTATTAGAATAAAAGTATAATTTTTAAATTATTAGCATTTTTCAATCAATAAATTCATTTTTTAAATAAATAATCTATAATGAAATTTATATTTTCATTTTTAAGCATAAAACTAATTAAAAAAAGATATTAAAAAATTTTATAATAATTTTTTTTACTTTTTTAAGATATTAAGGTATTGATTAAATGAAAAAATAATAATTAAATAAAGATTTTTATTATTGATCGTAAAATCTGAGTTAATTTATTTTTTATTCAAACTAAAAAAATTTTTTACATTGTTGTACATTCAAATTGAATGTGACTGCTGCTGAAACGATTTAAACATAGTTTGTAAATATTTTAATGTATACTTTTGATCTCTATTAAAATAAGAACTTATTTTTGCTATTTTTTAAATTATAAGTTGAGTTTCCATAGAAGATATTAATAAGGACTCTTTGTTGTTAATTATTTTTATCACTACTGACTGTTAAAAAGACAGAAATCAATAACCAAAGTAAACTTAACAATAATTTCCAAAGATTTTCATTTTGACTTCTACACAACACACATTAGTATTTATCACTTCTTGTGTAGCTTTGCCCCCAATATTATCCTAAAATCTGTAAAATTAAAATTTAAAAATATTATTTTTATTTTTAATAAAATTTACATCACATTCTTCACACAGAGGTCCTATATTTCCTTTAACACAAATATGATCTCCATAAGAAGGATTTACACAGTTTTCTTATCTATTTACACACAAAATTAACTTATCGGAGAATTCTTCTTCTCTCCAATAGCCAGTATTTACAGATATTATTCCATCTTAACAAGTTCCACCTTCTGGACAAGGATAGCATCCATTAAAATCAAGCGTATATTTTCCACCTTCGCAACTTTAACATTCTTATAAAATATTAAATTTACTAATGATTTCACCATATTTACATTTTCTGAAATTAACTTAAATCAAAAAAGAATAGTCTTAGCTGTAAGTTTGTGTAGCCTCATTAAAAATTTTAATCGAATCAGATCTGAACTCAAAATAAGAATGAGAGTCTGGTATACCAGTCAGTTGAAGGTTCGAGAAATTAAATAATTTATATTATTAGTCCATACTTACAGTTGTGTTACCTTTAACTTAATAGTGATCAGCTTATTAAGTCTTAGAGCTAACTTATACATAAGATTATATTTATTATTACTCTTGTTGATAAATAGGTTTAGAGCTTTTGTCTCTTAGTTGAAATATAAAATTAGGAAGAGTGCCACCACTTTTAAAATCATCTAAAACAATTATGTTTTTAACTTGATCATAATACTGTTTAAAATTATCTTAATTTGTCAAGTATAGTAGTGTAGGATAAGAAAACTGGTCATCTCCATATTAAATTGCACTGTTGCTTGTTAAAACAGATAAAGAATCGATAGAAGGTTTTATTCCTAAACTATAAATTCCCCCTCCTATATTTGCCTGATTTTACTTAATTACAGAGCTAACAAATTGTACTTATTATTTTTAAGAATTAGTTCCTGTTGATTTAATGGATATTGCACCTCCGTATCCAAGTTAGGCATTATTATAAGCGAATTAGCTTTGAGAAATTAAAAGCTTATAGATCTATATTATTTACATAATTGAATTTTTTTAAAATTAAATGCGAAATCAATAAACTTACATCATTCTAATTTGCTTATAAATAAACAGCTCCTCCATCATTTGTTGCTTTATTGTTTAAGAATTATGAATTTTCAATCAAATTATTATCAGAATTCAATCCAATCACTGAAATAGCTCCACCATAATTTGCCTTTTTAAATTATAATATTAGATTTTTAAAAATGAATAGATAATTTACTTAAGAGTTATCGATCTGACAGTCTTAAATTTAGAACGATGAATAAATTAAAAATATCGCAGATCCATAGCAATTGTAATTACAAGTTATTTAATTAAAATTAGAATTCTAATTAATTTATAGAGTTGAGTTAGCTAATCTTATTAGAGAATTCTATTAAGTTATTTAGTTGGAGTTTTGAGAAGCTTATTCTAGAATTCTGCTTGGAGAATTTATTTAAAATAAATTTTGGAATCTAGTATTTTGTATTACTAATTTTCCTTGATCTAAATCGATAATGCTTTAAGTAAAGTTAGACTGGGTAATATTAGAGTTTTTTATTGTTATATTAGATAATAATGAAGATATTAAAAGAGGTGAAGTAGATTCATTAATCTAATATATATTGTTAAAAAGGCATTCATCAATTGTTGTTATGCTATTTTAAACATTTATCAGAGCTGTTTGTTAAAGATTAATTTTTGAGGTGAATTAGCTTGGTATCTATTTTTAATCAATTTAGATTAAAACAAGACCTTCAGTAGTAATATTTGTATATGTTGGATTGATAAAAGCAGAGTATACTCCACCAAGTAAGTTAGTTATTATGATATTCTTAAAGTAAATCTAATTAAGCTAACCTTGCTAATCCTATGCATAAGACCTAATAAAAATATCATAATTTTAATAATTTAAGAATAAAAATAAAATGATTTACTATAATGAAATAGCATATGATTAGTCAGAAAGTAGGTAAACATCAGTGAAATTGCAATTTAACATTGTAAAATTTAGATTGATATTATTTGAATCTATAAAAAAGGCAGACCCGTCAATCAAAGAAATACCTTAAGAAAATGAAGAGGAATTCATAGATATATTTAATTAAGTACTAAGAGGCTCTATGAATAAAAATGAACCTATGCTTGAGATAGATTATGAAAACTAGCTTCCATTTAATTGCAGATAGTTAGACTTTACTCTTACACACCCTCCTTATTGCTGGAACAGAGTTTTCTAGTCAGATAAATCATATGAAGATTAAGAGAATGTGCAATTATTTATTTGAATATTATTGCTCTATGCATGAAGGAAATTGTAAACAGAATTTGATTTGGATCTTTTAAATTAGTTATTCAATAAAAATAAATCACCTAATGGATTTATGACTTAAATAGCTGTGGTTGAAAAAGTTTAAGAGTTCAGTAATCCAGATAGCACATTATCGTGAAAATAAGATTAATCTAAAGTGACTTTAGAATAAGAAGTCGATGATATAAAAATAGGATTTACGTAGGAATTTACTTTACTCTATGTAAATTTTGAGTTAGAAATTTCTATTTCGGTCAATGAAATCAAGCTATCAAAGCTGTTTGAGTTCTAAACGCTTAATATTGAATTGTCTACAGCTTAGATGTTTATAGCATTTAATAGATTTAGATTAAAATTTTAAATATCATTAAACTAGAGGCAGCCAGAATATTAATTAGTTTATCTATTTTACATAAAATTCTAATCATTTATGCAAGAAACATTGTAAATATCCACGTTTTGTGATTAAGATATTGAAGAAAATGCAATTTCAAAGTGATTCTATAATGTTATATTAGATATTGTGATACTTTTTAACTTATTGACTTAGATAAGTTAAGTTGTACTTAAATTATTTTCTGGTTACTATTGGTCATTTATATTAGGGTAATATTAATTTTAAGTTGCTGTTATGTTTTTCAAGACTAAAGTGTGCATAGGTTAGAGATTAAAGTAGTAAATAGCATTGAAGAGTAGATAAGAGTCACTTATATTAAATTTGTTATTTGCAATATAAATACTTTCAAATGAAAAGAATAAATTTTATTAGCTCAAACTGCTTATAGTAGAAAATATCTTGTGATTACAGAACTGATTACCCACTATCTACATATTTGCTACTTGATACTGACTAGCTTAGAAAAGAGATCCAAGTATTGGATTGGAATAGTCTCCACAAATGCTATTGGTAATGTTTACTTGAGAGATAGTGACTTAAACATCGCTTATTTACCTCAAAATACTAAATTAACTACCAAATGTACAATTTAACATCACAAAATTAGAAAATATAACCTAATTTATTGATAAATAAATCATATTTAAAACTAAAAATTAAAAAGAAAATTTTAAATTAAATATTAGTGAAATAAAAAATAAAATTTTTCTTTAATCAACTTTTTACAAAAACATTAAAATATATTTTATGTATTTTTGATTTTCAAAATATTTAAGATAAGCAAAGGTTCTAATCATATTTATTGAAAAACTATAAAAATAGCTACTAGCTACCTTGAAAATATTTTTTTAATTTATACAAAATATTCATGGTAGAAAAATTTTTTAAAAATAATTTTTAATTTTAATTTTATTTTAAACTATATTTAAATAATTTAGACCATTATTATAAAGTTGACCATATGGAGAATTTAAGCATAAATATTGACCTTTTATAAATAATATAAATAAATAAATTTATATTTAAAAAATCAATTTACTTATTTATTTTTTAAATAAAAACTAAGTGATAATTGCTGAGTTCCAAACATAAACAGTTCCAGTCACATCGATTCCAACAATTTATTTACTTGAATCTGAATACAAAGCATAACAAGTTTATTTTAAATTATCTTTAGGGTCATCAGACTGTAAGTTTGTAAATGAACTTGTATACATATCTATCATGAGGAACAAGTAGTTCAGAGGCTATTAATAAAACTATGTCCCTAACATTACCCATAATTTTGATGATCCATCATAATAAGAATCGAAGTTTAAAGAAACTTGATCAAATTAGAAATTTGGGAATATGCTTGTTAAGCTCATATTCTAATTAAAAATCATAAATATATTTTATTTTTATTTAAAAATTAAAAATTTAAATTACATAGGTTAAAGGATTATCTAAGACTTTGAAAAACTAAATATAATTCTATTATTCTATAACCATATAGCAAAGAGGACAATTTTTAACTTCAATAATGGAATTAGCGTTTATTCTTGAAAAAGCTTAGTTTATATATTAATTTGTAATATAAAATGTAGGATTAAGTGTAGTAACTATATCAAGTGAATATGATGATAACACAACATAGTATTTATATCCTTCATAATATGCTTAAAAGATTTTGTTTAACCCATAACTATAGTAATCTAATTTTATTTCATTAGATAATATAAAAATTTTAAAAAACAATAAATCAACAAAATTTAATAATTATTGTAATTAATTAAAATATATTGTGCCTTGGATACTATTCTAATTTTTTTTAGCACTCTAAATCTTTTTCAAAATTTAGGAGAAAATGGTGAAATTTAATGGGGTGAGAGTTAATGAGGATTTACTGTAATTTAAAGACTTGATCAAATTAATGAATTATTTAAAATAAATATATTCAATAATAGCTTAAAATAATTGTTTGTATGGTGAAAGAAATGAAAATATTAAGTTTAACAAAACTTTATTTTGTAAATTTTAAAATAAAAATAATTATAAATATTTTACATTGATATTCTACAAAGTTGTCTGTTTAAAGTTAGTAAATATAATTACTATATTATGCCATTACTGGTCCTGTGTGTAAAGGAATAATTAGAGCTTAATTTTCTTCTGCATAATACCATGTAGTAAACTATAATCTATTTTAATGATCTTTTATAGATATATATTTGTAGTCTAAATTTCTGAAATTAACTTAAGTAATATATTTATTTGTAGAGTCCATTACAATTTATAAATCTAATCTATAAATGTAGTTAATATCAGACACAAAAAGACTATCACTACCTTAAAAATTGATGTATTAGATGTTCAAAATGCTTTAATTTTAATTTGTCATAAGCTGGATATCTTTTATAAAATAAATAATTTATATTATTAGATTTAATTAAAATAGTAGTAATTCTACCTGTAGAATTTAAAAGCGTATATTATTAAGAATCATAGTAGTACACATATAATTGAGTAGCTTACTATAAAGTTCCAATAAAAAAAAACAGGTCGTAAATAGCATGCTTACTAAAATGTGAGAAACAGTTATAAGAACATGAGGCTTATTTAATATAAATATATGAATTATAATTGCTGGTTAATTAATTAAACATTTTTACGTGGATTTGGTAGAATTCCTGTAAATTATACTATGGTTGAAATCATATTAAATGACCATAGCTATGTATTAACTTAATTCATGATGAAAATCTAAACTAAGCCACTTGAAATAATAAAGCTTTTAGGATAAATTATATTATATATTGGATTAAGACCTTTGCTACAACTATCCATACTTTTGACTACCTTTAACTGAATTGAGTCAATAATAAAGCTTTAGCATACTTGTTAGGAAACAACAACATAGTTAGTGCCTTTTATCATTTCAAATTCTAATAAACTTTATAATTCAAGATGCGAAGTGGCTTAAAGTGTATATGGATCTGCTAATATTAATTTTTAAAAGTTTAGAACTAGAACCTTGTTAGTCTATGCTATGTATTCCATTTTTATAATTGTGTAATCAGCTATTAAAAATTATTGAAATATATTCAATAAAATGGCATCAATTCTTGTGATATATTTAATCAAAAATAATTTACGCTTAACTACATTTATTACATTTTGGTAAACTATTGAAAGATCTAAGTAATACACAATATTCGAGACAGTATTAGAAACGCTATTAGCAAACAACTATCCTGTATTCACAAGAAGTAGGTCAGTTTTTGGTATTTTTAGATAGTTTAAAATTGAGTAAAATTGTTAGTACATCACCTCTATTAAGTAAATTTAAATCTATATAATGCTAAATATAAATTTTTTTTGTAGAATTACAGGATTCAGATCGAATTTGTGGACATTCTTAACCTTTTAAGTAATTTACTAACTATAGAATTACAATAGTAATTTAAATTAACTACTTGAGAATCATATCTCCTTGAAATAATTATCTTTTAACTCTTTTTTTGTTATTTAATTTTATAAACAAGTTTTCTAACTATTAATGAACGATTTTTTATCAAATTCTTCTCACTTTCTTTGATAGAAACAAATAAAAATCAAAAGCAAAGTGAATGAATGAATGAATTTATATAGAAGCCAATAATTTCAAATTAATATCTAAATAATAAGGATTAAAGAAAACAAAATTGAGAAGTAGAATTCAAAATTCATAAGAAATACAATATGAGGTGGATAAATAACCTAACTTTCAAGTAAATAGAATTTTTTATTTTTTAAATTATGAATGGATATACAATGTAAATATAAATATATTACCTTCACAAAAGGTAATCTAATTGTATTTTTCAGTCATTTCTATGGCTCTTCATTTAATTAAATAATTACAATTTTCTATAACACTTAAAATTTGCTTTAACTTACATTTTTAAAATTATCAATATTTAATTCCCAAAATATAAAATAGTTGAAACAATAATATCAATTTAACATTTGGATTGGCACATAAAAATATTTATGAGAGAGTTTATTGAAATAGTATCAAAAAGGATCTAAAAAAGTACAATCAGAAGATTACATAAAATAAAAAATTTAGAGATTAATATTAAAATGATATTTTTATAATTATCTATATTGATATTAAATTTTTCTGTTTAATTTTAACAGGTTTCTTGTGTTTGATAAAGATTTAAAAGTGAAAAAAATAATGAGATGAATTAAAATTTTTGAAGAGATATTAGTTGAATTAATATTTTCCAATTGAGTTTAAATTCTGTCAAACTCTTTCACACCCTTAATTTGCTCTAGATATTACTTAGTATAACATTTAATATATATAATAACTAACCTTTCTAAATTTTAAATTTTTTATTCTCCCTCTAAATTGTCATTATTTAAAGATCTTGTTGTATTAGGACATACATCTAAATTATTTTAAGTTAGTTAGAATTCTAATTTAGATTTTTGACGAATATTATTTGAATTAGCTACAATAGAAATTCTTGGATTATTAATTCTTTCACTGTTAATTAGTGTTTCTGAAAATTAAATAGCATCTTTTTTTTATAATAGAAATATATAAATTTAAAATCAAAAAAACTTAAGTAAAAATGTACTGTAATTTTAGAATGGATTTTTTGCTTATATGATGATTAAAGGATTTAATAAAAACCAAAATAAAATTATTAAATTAATTAATCTATTTTATAGCAAATCCAGGAATTAAATTCTTAATTTTCCACTTCCATAAGAATTTAATACCTGGAATTGCTATAATATGGAAATTGAATTTTTATCTATCTCTTAAATATTTAATATTTTATTTATTATAAAAATTTAACTTATTGATTCAAAAATAAAAATAAAATTTACAAACTTATAATTTTTTTTTTGTAATAAAAAGAATCTTTCAAAATTAACATTTTGTTTAAGGAGGTTTTTTAAATTTTCTAATTAATTACTTGTATTTTGATTTACACGTTATTTTCTATAAATTTAATTCTAATACTTGTGTTGATAGTAAAATTATATCTCTTTTACTCAAATTTTTTTTTCTATTAATTAAAATAAAATTATAAATTGTTATTTTTATGTTTCTTTTTAATAAACGAGGTAAATTAGTATATAAAGATTGAAGCTATTGATTATTATGCTTTAAGAATATCCTTTGAAGATCAAATATATTATTTATTGAAATAAAAATAAATAGACTTCTTAGTAAATTCATCAAATTTTAATTATTTTATTAATTTTTCATCTAAATTGTATCTAACATTATATAAAATATATGATTTATTACTTTTCTATAATAATATATTGTTAATAATTAAAAACATTAATATATTTTAAATACATTATCGATTATTTATTTATTTGCTTACTTAATTTTAATTTAAGAAAGTGGTAAAAAATAACAATAATCATTTTGCATAAAATAATTCGACAATTAAAATAAATCAAATTTTCAATCGATTTAAAACCATTAAGAAGCGTTATATACTTGAAGAGGTTTATTAAATTAAATTAAACATTTAAATGGTTGTGATTATCTGAGCGCAAGATTGATTTAAGGATGTTTACGTAGTATTTTTGATTTTAGCTTTTTAGGGATAGGTCTATTATAATTAGTTAGCTTTTTTATTGGGGAGTATAGATCACAATCATTTGATTTTTAATTTGATATTTAATGCTTTTACGAGGAAGGAGAGTGAGTAATAGGAATTATTTCTTATGTACTTTATTGATTCTTTTTATTTAAAAATTCAATCTAAAGCTCATTAAAAATATTGTCAAAATATTGAAAAATATTTGAATTACTATCAAAGTCAATTTTTTAGCTTTCATCTTCTACCTCTTCTAATTAAGGTAATGTATTGATTTTTTAATGATCTTACAAAAGCTTACTTTCATTCAAATTTTTTAATTTTTTTTATTTTTCAGCTTTTCTCTACTTGATTTTAGCTGATTCTTATTAGCTTAGTATTTCAAGAGATTTATTTATTTTACATTTTTTTTTGTTTCCCTTCTTATTCTTCTATTAAACTTTACACCAACTTTCATCGCTGAAATCACTATCACTGCTTTGAGAAATAGTCTAAACACTACTTAAGTACTACTATTCACCTAATTTTTTTTCAGAATTTTAGTTTGAAAATAAATTTAATCTATTTTAATTTCTTGAAACAGATCTTTTTTAAATAGATTGTTAATCTAATTCTTAATTGCTATCAACTTAGCTTGTAGATGAATTCCTTTTATTTTTTTATTTTTTTTAATTTTTTTTATTTGTTACATTAATAGAGCTACTTTAAAGTTAATTAAATTATTTTTACTAATCATTTTAATTGGACTCTATTTCTTAAGTATTTAAATTTAAATAATTAGAATCAGTTAATTCATTATGCCTATGAAAAGTTTGTTAAGAAGATCTTTAATTTTTCTGTTTTTTATTCTATGTTTTTATTGGTTAAATTTCTTAATTTTTTATTTTACCCTCAAAATCGTTAAATATTGTGGTACTTTAGTCTACCTATTCAGTAGCTTGTGGTTATTTTGGTTTCTCATTTGTATCATTACCATCTAAACAGCTATATTCAAAAGGTGCCACATTTTAACTTGCAAAAAAACTGTTTTTGAGTTTTTTATACATATTTCTTGTTAAATTTTTCTTTTAAAAAATAAAGGATTCAAATAATGAATCTTAATTCAATTTAGTATTATCTGTATTATTTTAAATAGAATTATACTTATTTAGACTATTAAATTCATTTTATTGTTAAAAAGAATGATTTTCAAACAAATTAGCATCATTTATTTCTTTTTAATTTAAATCATTTAATTAACTTAAAGGTTTTTTATTATTTTAATCATGTTAATCTTTTTATTTGTCTTAATCCAATATAAACTCATTTTGATTAATTTTTTTCATTTTCTTATTCTATTTCTTATAAATATGAGATTGCTTTTCTAAATCTAAATCATTATTTTTTTCTATTTTCTGTTGAAGTTCATTATTTTAATACTCATTAATTTAAATTTCTTTACTAGAGGTATTCTAAATATCTGTTAATTAACAAGGCAATAACATTTATTTTTAATTAAATTCAATATTTTATTTCTATTATTTAGTAGGTGACAAAATATTTTGATTTATCTACTAAAAATGAGTAAAATAATTAACTTAATCCTTTTATGATTAATTTTGAGAACTTTTAGAACAATTATGATTGTTATCAGAGCAATCTTTGCTTTTTATGTTCAGATTTTTAGTTTTAATATTTTTTTGGTCTTTGTAGATATCTAATTCTTCTTCAGATGAACTATGATTGCTTAATGTAAATGAACTTTTAGAAGATTAGTATTTTTTTAAGATATTACTTCTTGCACTTCCGAACTGAGAGATTTTAATATCTTTGTCTTCATTAGATAGATAATTTTTCTCAGACAATTAATAAGTTTAATTACTTTAATAGTATGATTATTGATAATTTCTTTTGCTATCTTCATCTGAGCTATTTAATATAGATTTCTCATCATCAAACGATGATATTAATGGAGTTTAATTTATTTATTCATATTTTTTAAGTTAAATATTTTCATCAAAACTACTGAGATAATTTTGATTATTTCTTCTCATAGATTTTTGTTATAAATTATTTTAATACTTTCTTTCAAGTGAATTACTATGATCTCTACTAGAATTTGCTTATTTTGTTTGTTTCATATCAGATATTTCCCCATTTATTAAACTATTCGATAGTTTTTTCTACCTGTTTCGCTTTCTCTTTACCTTATTTTTATTGTCAAATTCCTGAGCTTTATTCAAAAACATGTCATAATAAATTTATTCTTTATATTTATTTATATTTTAACCAAACGAGTCTTCATATTAATACTATTCAAGTTAATCTTTTTCCCTATTATTCTAAATCTCTTATTTTCTTTTTAAGATCATCTGTCCATCAACGCAAACTATTTCATATCCTTTTTCTTCTATTTCTTCAATATATTTAATTTTATGTTATCTTGCTTGTTCGTATATTTACTGTCCTTGCTCATTCTTAAAAAAAAAATGTTAATTAAACTCTAAGCAATTGAAAAAAATTAAAAATTGATTTTTTACACCAAACAACTCCACCAAAGATGAGAACAATTTATTCTTTTTATGAATATGAGCAGGTTGTTACTAACTAGCTTCCATAATCTTATTATAACTATCTCTGTTTCTAAGCTGCATGATATGAAATAAAATTCAACTAATTATATTCAATCAATCCTTTGTATCTATTTTGTAATTTTATTAAATTAATTTTGAAATAATAAATTCCTGATAATCAATAATTATCAAAAATCTTTGTATATTATAAATCTTGCTAATTATCTGAGCTAAATAAATTTTCTTGTAGCAAAAATATTTAAAATTTTCAGATATTAAAATAAATTTAATTATCAATAAATATTTGTTATTTTGATTGAATTATTTTTAAATTTCAAATAAGAAAATATTTGCTTGTAATAAAATTGAAGAATTTAAAAATATTTTTTCTTTTAAATAAAAGTTTGTCATTACTCTAAAAATAGTAGAAATAATTATATCGAAAATAAAAAAGAAAGATCCATTTGTTTCTATCAAATATACCACAAAAAATTCCTTTTAAAAAATGGATGTACAAGGGAGTTAATAAAAAAATGAATGAACCTTTCAAAACAATAATGCAAATTAATTAAAGTTTTATTAAAATAGAAATATCAAAAAAAAAATTGAATATTCGAAAAGAAATAGCTGGTAAACAAATGAATGAAAAAATATTAAAAATATTGCTGAATAGGATTGTAATAAGATAAATTGAAATAAATTGATAGTGTTAACAAATTATAATAAGTATATTAAATAATTAAAAGTAATACACATTAAATAGCTGAAGATACAAATTCATTCATAAATAACATACATAATAGGAAAGTTTAAATGTTCTTCGATCCAAATACTAACTTTGTAGAAAACGAAAAGGGTTAGCAAAAAGGAATGTCCAGGCCTTTGTAGAACCAGTAAAAGATTACTTAATAATATAATTAAAATTAATTTATTAAATTTTTTTGCAATTAGGTATTAGGTTAGACCTCAGACATTTCCTAATCAATAGCAAAATATCTTATAAAGATAGCAACTATAATAATAAAATTAAGCTCTACCTAACCAATAAATTACATAAAACCCAATCAATAATGGTCCTTAATTGAATGAAAGAATAGCAAGATTAAGATAAGAATAAATGATGGAAGATTAGCAAGATTACAACATAATTTAGGAAAGAATTGATTAAATTTTAGAGAAAGATCCAAAGAAATTAGAAGAATAGAAAGAATTAGAATATCAGGAAAAGTTGAAAAAGAATCCATTTATCAAGCAAAAATACACTCTTAGTTTGGACAATGATAACTTAAAAATGCTTATTTTATTTAACACAAAGTAAAACCCTGATTATAAGCTCTAACATTATATGTACTTCTCAAATTAAGCGAAAGCTAATTTCTAGATAGGCTAATACAATAAATTCCACTTTTAAAAGGATGAACCTAATTTAAAATTCTATCTTAAATTTAGTGATAAAGAACCTGATTATGTATTGGTCAGAAGATCTAAACTTTTAAAAAATTATTCACTCCTCTCCACTGACTCTGTTGAAAATGAAAATAAAAAAACCATCGAAACAATCCCATATAGAGGCTTCTATTCAAACTAATATGACTACTAATTCTTCAAAATGTAAATGCAATCTGAGAAAATTAACTTCACAGATTGAAATCGTTAAATTGCATCAATTTTTGCAAGGTCTTTTAAAACATGATAAGACTTAAAATAATTTTCAAATCACCAACAAAACAAATTAATTCTTAATTCATTCATTCATAACTTACTGGACAACTAGATAAATCTTAAATATTTAACTAGCTTTATTAATAGTAAAAAATATTATTTATATTTTTGTATATAATACCTCTATAATTAACTAGTTATATTTTATATAATTCTATCCTAACCTCCTTATTTTAACATTCAAACCAAACAAAAATCATTTGCTTTTAATTAAAACCTACTATTTTAAGACTTAAAATATTTAGTTAAACTTTATATTTTAATATATCAACCTCAAAATCCAAATAATTTTAACAATTTTAAATGATTCATAAAAATATTTTTATTATCAAAATTATACAATTTATTTTGAAAAGGCATAAGATAAAAATATTAGTTAGCTTTCTTAAAGATAATTTCTATATATCAATGAAATAAATTAATAAAAAACGATTTTTTAACATAAAACAAGTTTATTTTATAAATTAAAATACATTATTATAACTAAATTATTTATATTAAAATTATTTGAAAACGAATTTAAATGAAAGTAAATAAATAGCAAACAAACTAATATATTATTTATTAATAATTTTATTGTTTTATTTTCAATTAATTAATATTCTCTAAATAACTTTCCTAAATAAACCTTTTTTATCTGCAATCATTTGTATTATATTAATAAAAAAATATTTTTAGAATAGAAAATTTTTAATTTATATCAAAGAATATAAATTAAATTTTATTTTTTAAAGGTTTATTTATTATTAGATGCAAAATAAATGATTGGATAGATATAATAAAATTTATATTAAATATTTTCTTAAAGACTTTTTGACTGAAAGTTCAAATAATTTTACAGAACCGCTTAGAAAATAAAATTGAAAGACAAAGGGAGTTTATAATCCATAAGATTTACATAAAATTATGAACCAAAGTATCGGAATTAATCTGTTATCAGAATATAATATTTCTTTTGAGCTTAATTGAAATTCATTTACCCACTTTTTATTTTTTCTCAAATACAAGGAGAAAGGATTCTGAACAGATATTAATCAATGAATCTATCATTTAATTTTCTTCTTTGTTTGTTATCAAGCAATTTGTTAAATAATTAGAAATAGCTAAGAAATTAAAAGCAATCAAAAAAACAAACAAACAAATTGATTATTAAAGTACCAAATAACAAGCAAACAAGCAACTCTTTAACATTAATAGTTAATATAAAAACAAAAATCTTAATAGACAAGTCTTAGTTAATCAAATTATAAGTAAAAAGTAGAGTCACTAAATAGTGAAGGAAAATCCAAACAAAGTAAAATCACTTAAAGTAAAATAGTTTTTTTTATTCAGTGTAGAATAAAATTTTAGATGTTTAATGGAATATTGATCATTATTTCAATATAAAATTGGTTATATGAATATTTTGATAATTTAAATAATTTATAAGAAAAGTTGTCGTACATTTACATTTACAGTAAACTAATTTTCTGCACTTGAGTAGAACGAAATGCCACCTAGGAAAAATAGACCGAAAGACGAATAATAAGAATTAGGTTTAGTACAAGATACAAATAGCAAGTATGGATAGTACAACCAAATTGATAACAATTATGAATTACAGAAATATTAAACTACCAATGTAATTAATTATGGCATATTTTCTGTTCATTGATTTTTGAAAAAAAAGTGAATGAAAAATAATCAATTCTCCAATAAAAAATGAAAATACTTCCATGAAATGGAGCAAAAAAATATGATTAACTATCATATCAATATCATTAACAATTATTATTAAATTTATTATTAATTCATCTTATAATTTTGTGTTTATAAAATAGATTGATATTGTTATCTTCCATTAATATAAGGAGAGTAAAACTTTATTCTAGCATTAAAAAGCCTATATAAATCAAAACAATGAAATTGTCCTTTCAGAAATTCTCAAAAATATCAAAGCTTCAGGTTTTGAGTTTACAAATGCAATGATTTCTTATTTTGACCCTATTTCTGATCTCTATAGATACTGCGGGAGAGATCCATTGGACCACACAGTGGGAGTTCCAATAAGCTGCATAAACAGCAATCAAGTACAAATTAGTATTTTTTGATAAAATGCAAGAAAAAATTACTCTTTTACTTTGAAAGTTGAGAGTTAAAAATAAAAAACTAAATTATATTGATCAATTAAATGTTAAATATGAATTGTGAGTAATTATTTAAAATATAATAAATAATAGTTGGAAATTAAGTTGAGATGTGGCCAAAGAAACATTGTTGATATGCTTATTTAAGAGCAAAAAAATAAAGAGGAAAATGATGAAACTGAAGCAAGATTGAATCCAACATCAGCCAATGCAAACTAAAAAAATAACAGAGTAAAAGAAAGAAAAATAGGAGAAGTAGTTGAAAAAGTAGCTCTATGGCGTAGGTTCTACACAGGTTTTTATGATGAAAATGGCAAGTTTATTAACATGCCACTTGATAATGCAGCTTTAAAAGTTGGAATCTCCAAAAAAACCTTAGATGATTATCTACTTCAAATAAGGTAATTAATAAATAATATAAAGCAAATAACTATTAATTTCTTTTAACTTTAAAGAATATTTTAAGAAATATAGAATATATATATTTTAGAAGAATTATTTATTAATAATAATTTTATAAATAATAATAGGTGTGGAAAAAAGTATGGCTTCAATTTTAACAAAAACTTGAGTGAAAGAATAGGAAAATTAAGATCCTTTGTGAAGTCACACAAAAATAAGGAATCCAACAACTAAGGCTACGGAGGCAATGACAGTGGTGGAGAAGATAATGACGCCTGAATCCCAAATAGGGATAAAATGCAATTATAAACACAAAAATTATATAAAATAAATTTGCATTTAAATAAAAAATCTATAAAAATAAAATTTGCTATCAATAAATCGAAATATATAGAATTAACTGTTGACTATCTCTATTAATATATATAAAGTTATAAAGAAGTATTATAGATACCTTAGCTTTTTAAAGCCCTATAGAAAGTTTTTTCTTTCATCATATAGTATTTTTGAGTAATTTTTCAGGTAAAAAGAAAATAATCATAAATATTATTTTGCAATTAATTATTCCTTCAAATTCTTAGCATAAAACAATTTTTTTTTTAATTTTATGATCTTATTTATTCACTAAAAATAATTTCTATGGATAATTATTAGATTATTTAAAATTTTAAATTTTAACAAGAAGTAATTATAATATTTAATAAAAGAGAAAATTAAATTTTAAAACAAATATTGAGGTAAGTAAATGTATTAAATATTAGTTAGTTTTAAATACCTAAATTTTTATTTTAAAAATTATTAGAATTATTTGTCTAAATATTAATTAGAATTAATTAGTATCTTTAAATTTAGTATTTTTTATATTTATATATAATGTTTTCATTTTATTTTTTTACTTTACTATATTAGTTGATTCTATAAAATTTAAATTACTTTAAATTTCAATAATATCAACATATTTATATTATATAAAATTAAAATCTAGAATTTTTATATCTTGAACTATATAAATATCTATTTTAATTGTTTTGTCTATGAATTAATTTAATAATTTTTGTTATGTTTTATCTTCCTTTCTATATTATTTATAAAAATAAATTAGTGAATTTAATTAAAATTACTTGGATGTTTTAATCTTTTATTTTTCCGAATATTTTTAAATTGATTATATATTGCATTTAAGAAAAATTTAATCAAAGCATTCATCAAAGATATATTAAACTTTTTTATCATCTTTTTTTTTTTCAATTAGAAAATTAGAATGCAAATAGAAGTTATTAATTATATTTGGTTTTGTAGACAAGTGTGTTTATTTTCTTAAGTAATAAATTTTTGATAAAAAGTTAAATTATACATGCAACTTAAATAATGATGTAAAATAGTTCATTAGTTGATGCAAATAATTTTTTATTTTTAAATGAAGAAATACGTGCAATAACCTTTCAGAGCAAAAAAAATTTGATCTCCTCAGCTTTAATTAGAAAATTTATTTTTTTGTTTGCTTAGTTTTTAGTTTTTAAAATCAAAATTTAAATGCTGACTGTAATAGCAATTTTAACTTTATGAATCAAAATAAAAGTTAAACAAAATAGATGAAGATACAAACAAAGATATGATAAAAGATTGAAAGATGAAACGAATGAATGAACACAGAAAAACTAGAAGTGTTAATGGATTAACTGAGTTTATTATTGATTAATAATGCATTGTTGATTAAAAATACAATTGTTGCAACTTTTATTGAGAAAAATTAAATTATTTTGTTAGCTTTTAAGTGTATATTTATTTATTTAATAGCTATTTTATTTAACTTTAATAAATCAATTCTTCTATTTGCCATAAGAATCCAACCAGTGCTTGAATTCGTCGTAAAGGACAAGAACTAATGCAGAACCAACTGATCTGTAAACGTTGGACAAGTTACCCTTGAAGAAACCATTGATACCTTCTTGAGCATGGACTTTTTTGAAACAATCAATTGTGCCGTTATAATCTTTAGTTCCTTTACCAGATTGCATCATAAGTCTTCTACGGACTGTATCAAGAGGATATGAGACGGTTTCAGAGAAAGTGACACAAACTTAGGCGAAGAAGAACTTAACGAAAAGGTTTGCCTTTCTTTAGTCTTCACCAAATGCCCATCTTTTACCAGTATCGAAAGTACCAAAGTACAAAGCTCTGTAAACAAAGATACCGACGAGTGAAACGCTCAAACCTCTATAAATACCTTGAAGACCGTCAGTCTTGAAAGTCTTTGCAACACAGTCGATTAAACCCTTATATTAACGACCAACATCGTTAGCTAATCTAGTTCTGCAGTAATCAAGAGGGTAAACAAACATCATAGAAGTAGCACCAGCCATACCACCAGCAAGAGTGTTACCTAAGAAGAATTATAACTTTTGAGTTTCAGCATTAATTCCCTTAACGAAGGATCTTTGGAAGAAATCCTTAGTGGCAAAGTTAATAGCAGTGGTGGGGAAATATCTGATGACGTTAGCCAAGTTACCCTTCCAGAGAGAAAGAGGGCCTTCTTCTTTGACACAACGAACGAAACAATTACCAATACTTGTGTAAGGGTTATTCTTCAATTCAGGAATGGTATGTTGACTTTACATCAAAAGCTTAACTCTTTCGATGGGAGCACATACGGTCTTGGCGATGGCACCAGCGGTACCACCCATAAGCAAATCCTTGACGAATTGGCTACCTTGTCCTTGCTAGCTATGTGACATTTCTGTTTTCCTATTTAGCTTTTATTTTGAATTTAATCAAATAATTGGTTCTTTTTCTATTTAGAATCCTTTTTTTTAATTACAAAATTATTTATTATATTATTTTTCAACTTGCCTTTTTATTTAATTTATTCGTTTACAAACAAGCAAGCAATCAATCAAAAAATAATTAAATAAACTAATTAATAAATAAATAAATAAAAAGCAAATATTTATTCATTTATTTTTTCTTCCTTTTAATCTTTTACTCAAATATTTATTGATATCTGCCACTCTTATTTTAAAGTTTGCTATCTATTTTTCGCGCATTAATACTAGACTCCATTCATTCTTTCATTAACTAATTCACTTATTGATATATTAATTATTTTCATCAATCACTTAATTTTTCAATAATTTTGATAAATCTTTAATAAAATTTATTAAGTATCCACATTATTTAAAATCAATTAGATAGTTAGTCATTCAATATCTTTCTTATGAATTGATAAATATAGTATTAATTCATTATTTAATGCTGATTTTAACCTTTCAATTTTATTATTCTTTATTTAGTAATAGATTAAAGCTACTCATTCAAAAAATAATTTCTCTCTTTTTCTCCTGATAAAAAGTATTTATAGCCCAATTCAAATAATTTCAACTCAAAAATCAATTAAAAGCACTACCTATTTCTATTTTCATAGATTAGATTAACTTAAGCTTGCTTAATTTTGTAGAATCATAGAAATTTTCTTGATTATTTCTTTTTAACAGGTACTCGACTATTTCGTCACCTAAAACTCAACGATGATGTATTAATACATTCTAAACATATTAAAAAATAAATTGAGCTAAAAAATGTAATATAAAAAACCCTTAACATTTAACTCAACGAAATTATTTCAAAAAATAAAAATGAATTCAACTAGAATGAAAAAATATCATTCTATTTCTTCATTATTTATACTAAAATAAATAATTAAATCTCAAAACTCTTTTATGAAAATTTCTGATTAAATTATTAATTTTAGAGGAACATTTTTTACTTCAAATTTATCTTCAAAAAGATATTTCTTTTGCAATATTTCAAACTATCTTAAGATATGCTTTTGTTTTTTCCACAAAATTTCTCCAACAATTTTATTCAATTTGTTAAAATTTTAGCTTCATCTTAAAATTTTCTAATAAATCAAGCAATTCGCATTTTTATTATAATATCCATATAATCATTGTATTTAATAATTTTATAATTTATATTTTTGCTCTTACCTCAATATTCAAAGTAAAATTAAAATTAATAATTTATTTTTAAATAATTCCAAAATCATCCCATTTGTCAATATTTGAAGCTTATCTGATAGAATATATAAACAAATATTTTTTTTATTAATAAAATTCTTTTATATTTAAAAGTCTGATTTAGTTACTTATATTGAGGACATTCAAATGTTCTCTTTATTAATGTTTTTAAATCATCAAAGATAATAAATAAATCTACTAACTATTAAAAGAAATTAAAAACTTAAAAAATTTAAACTATTTATCTGATTAAAATATTTTTTATTTTTAAGTATAAAAAGGTTTTTTTTCTAAAAAATTAATGCAATTTAAACAAAATTATATAAATGCAAATTAACTTTAATTCATTCATACGAATTAACATAGAAATAAAAATATTAATAATATTATTTTGAATATTGAATTATTAGCAAAAGTGTTTGAATTTTAATCTTTGTTTCCATATTAAATGTAAGAAAAAGTTATTAAATTATTTGGATTATTTTACTATTTGAGTTAAAGAGATGATATAACTTTTTGAGTAGAAATTTAATCTTTAAAAACCTGTACTTTGACAAATATGTTATCTGAAATTGTTAGCGATAAATATTCTGTACTATTGCAATACTAAATGTCAAAATTGAAGTTGTTTTATTCACTTATATATTAAGGGAAATTAAAATAATTTTTTATGTCTAAAGTTTCAGCTGATTGTATGAGATAAATATTTGATTATTATACTTGGCTTGAGTAAAGAGTAACAATTTATTATGTTTTATATTAATTGTATCCAATAAAAACGGTATATTGATTGCCCTTGAACCCTAAAATAAAATAAGAGAATGCGTCTTAGTAATAATATTAATAGGCTTAAATTATTTCAAGCTATTTACTTGCATTAATACTAAAAGTTATATCATATATGAAAGAATTTCTAAAAGCTATTAAAAATTGAGTGTCTTAATACTACTGAATTGAATAAATGTAATCATCTTTTTATACAATAAAACTAAATTGTTTTAAAAGATCTTAAATATTGTAAACTCTAACATCATCACTGTTTCTATCTATCTGTTAAATCAGCCCTGAAGGATAAATCAAAATTTGAGTATTATATTCATTTAAAACATGAATATTCATCAAAGAATAGAAACTATTACTTTGCTTTAACAAAGAGACTTCTTTGTTCTTATCATTAAAATTTAGTAAATATGGTTACATAGAATCATGTAAGTAAATGTAAATTAAACCCTGATAGCTAATTATTCTAATGAATTAAGAAATTTAAATTTCTGATTAATTCAGATTATAAATATCTGGACGTGAAACCTAAGCATTTTTAATTATTTCTCCACTAATTTGGTATTAAATTTTATATCTATAAATTTTTTCATAACAAATAACGTACAGATTGAAATGATAGAATTCATCAAAATATTCAATTGATGCTTTATCATCTAAAATTTAGCAACGCTTAAAATTTCCTATTATTCTAAAAAAACTATTTATGTCTTCTTCAAGGAGTCTGATAGTTGCTTATTAGTTATAAAGAATACTAAAAATCTTATCAATATTTTCATTGTCTCTATAAACGATGATTCTATTAATGACACTAGAATACTAATCACTTTCCCAACCTAAAATACAACTATTGAAAATCTATGTATCACAAAAATAGTTTTCTGTGTCTTCATATTTTTATTTGTTTCCAATCCTTTATATAAATTTCTAAATAGTAAATTTTCCATGATCAACTATTCCATATTTTGTATTAGCGTCTCTATTCACAATAATTGTTATTCGGAGCTAGTTCATTTCTTAACTTTACAATTAGCTCATGTTTTAAATTACCTCTAATTACTTTTTCATTATCCTTGTTCTAAATTATGAATCTTATTGATTAGCTATCGAAACCAATATTTCACTACTAAATTGTAAATTTTAATTGAATTGATCCACACCTATATTAATATCATATAAAACGCTTACTTCATTAAGAACAATAATAGAAGATTCAGAATTAATTGAATACAAGATATTAGGAGCGATAACTGTTTTTTTAGGATCAAAAGTCAAAGTTGTAAAGAGCTAATTTGACCACGATTTACTATTTATCCTGTATAAGTAAAAAGTATTTTTTTATGTAGATTAAATATATGCATATTCTTAAATTGAATGTCTTTTTGGGATGATTATTCCATTATTACTCACAGGATGGTTGGAATCAATTTATAAATTTCTCATAAAATAAGGAGTTTTGGTTTTAAAATTATTATATGAGTATTATGCAATAGTTTTGAGAGGATCATCAATAACTGTAATCAAAAAGGAGTTCATAAATAGAGTCAGCTATTATTCTTTGCCTTGGATAATAGTTGGAACATTTATCTCGCCAATTAATCCTTAATTAATATAATTGTAAGCAATAATTGACTAACTGTTGTAGATAAACAATACTCCTTAGATGCATATTAAGTTGGGATTTTTTGAAAAAATAGCTGATAAATCTGTAGTACTAATTATTTGAGCGTATTCACTTTTTTAAAATCTGAAAATATATTAAGTAATTTTTTCACCACAAAAAGTAAATAATATTCTGTAAGCAGGATCAGTAGCAAATGCGAAATTTGATTCAGCGCATGATACTTATATTTAGTTTAACTGAAATTACTCCCCATCAGAAAAGTGAACAAATGGAATAAAAATACTAAATTCAGATTAATTTTTGTTAATTTTAAGAGTGAAAGAACCTTAATTATCAATTTGGTTAATTGAGTAATAAATCCAAGTTTAGCAATTCAATAATTAGATTCTTCCTTATGGTTAACTACTTTGCAAAATAGCTGATGTTTTTGCCCCATATAGGTCATAGACTTAGCCTATATTTGGTAAATCTTTAGAACACAAGAAAATTGAAGAAAAATATCCATCTGTTTGATAACAAGTACAATTTTGATCTAATTTAATTTAATCAGTATTCTTTACCTCTAAATATTTAATAACTTTATAATTTGAAATCATATTTGGATCTACATAATCAGTGGCAATTAAATTAACATCTGATCCTTAAATATAATCTTCAATAGGAATGATGTACTAACCTATTTATGAGAAATTTTGAATTGTTTTTTGTAAACTAATCTAGCTTTATGAAAAAAATATTTAATTTTGTTCATCAATCTTAGGTACTATCTATAATTAATAAGTAGTTTATGATGTTGTTTTAATAGATAGTTCAATAGGTAAAATTGTCATAGAATCAGTTTATATAACAATTTATGGTATATTTATTTCAGCTGATATAGTAATCGAGTATTTATTGATATTATTATATATGTAAAGTAAAATTTTATTACCTACATTAAGAGTAAATTTAATACTTAATCTATCTTCACATACTTGTTTTTAATAAACTGCTAATTACTTATCAATATCAAATAAATATAAATAATTATCAGAAAACAAAACCATTAATTTTGATGAAATAAATTCTATCATTTAAAATTATTATAATTTAAATTATTTTATTGATTATTATTAAAGTGGTTACTATATTATACTCTCATTTGAAATAAATTTAAATATTGTTAAATCCTTATTAGCTATCAAGCAAATAATTAGATTGTTTCCTATCCTTTTTGCCTACATATAATCAATCTTCAAATTAGATAAATTATTTAACTTTATTACTTAAAAGACAAGGCTTTCATCAGTAAAATCTAGTGACGCTACTTTAATAAATGAAGAACTCATAGATCTGCAGTATTTAAATAAGTATTTTCCAGTGTCAACTTAAAATTGCTCAATTTAGCATTGTTCAAATACGCTTTTAAGGAATACTTATTTGAATTAAGAGTCTAACTTTATTAGTTAGTATTCTCCAGCGTCTGCCTAAATTATATAGATATATTTCTATGGTCCAGGTATTGCAATATGCTTAAAGAGTGTTATATTGTCTAGAGGATTTATTTCAATCTAACCTTAAGAATTTATTTAGTATCTAAAGGACTTAGATTAATTATCCACATTAGTATATGAAACGAATCCTTAGGATTTTGAATAAAAGCTTCCATAAAAGGACTAAGCTCTTTCTTTAACTATGTCTAACTATTAGTAAATAGATGCTACTAATTTCAAGCATGAACATCCAAAATCTATGGAAAATTACTGATATATGAGAAGAATTTAAAGATATGATTGACTTAAATATTATTATTTGACTGAAATAATATATTTTGATGAATCTCCTGAATCTATAGAAGCTAAATAATCTAATAATGGTAATTAATCTTAATAAGTTTAGAATTATTAATATGGCTAAAGTATTTAGGCTTATGCGGCATCCGCTAAATTCACTTCAATTATAGGTTCTGATACAAACTCATTTAGATATGAGATGTATTATTCATTTTGTTGTATGATTAAATACTTCTATGTATTAACTATTTAGGTCTTTATACTCTAACTAAATATAAAAAACAAAAGTACTAAACAAATTATTCTTCCTTTTTTTGTCATAAATATGATTATTAGCTTTTTATATTTAATTTATTTTTAACAAAATTTAATATAAAAAACATTTGTAAATATATTTATTGATTTTTATATCCTAAATCGATTATATATTATGCTAAAAATAATCTGATTCAAATTTACCATAAACTTTTCTTACATTTTTCATAATAGGTATGCCTCCTTATTAAAAAAAGCAAACTGATTTAATTGTTTACATATTTATACACTAATAAATAATAATTATAAAGTTAGTATATGGAATGACTTTCAACTATTGCTTAACAACATGACAATAATGTAATTCTTTTACATATTTCAAAAATATATTAATTTTTAATTAAATAAATATAAATATGAGATAAAAATTGAATTAAAATAAGTATTTAAAAAATTATTTTATTCAAAATTTATTAGAAAGAAGTTATTTAAATCTAAATAAAAAATTGTATAAATTTATAATTTTTCCTATACCTATTTTCGAATAAATATTTATATAGTAATATATAATAGAACAATAAATATTATTCAATGAAATAAAAAAAAATAAAAAAAGGTTTTGAATTTTTTAAATTATTTTTAATTTTGGAATAAATTAAATAAAGAAGCTATAACAATTTTAGACCATGATTTTTAAAGTTTAAAATGGCGAGGATAATAATAAATAAAATATTTTATAAAAGATGAAATAAGAGGTATACTTATTAAAAAATGATGCTTATTTTATTAACATACATGATTATAAAAATTAAGATTCAATTAATTATTTTTTAGTAAAGCTAGAAAAATCATAAAAACAAATATTTAATTTTGTTAACAAAGAATAATCAAATTTATTAATGATTATTTAATAAATTTGATGGATTTTATAAATTAAAATATTTTATTTTATTAATTTCCTGCTAATCATAATTTATTATCAAAATAATTTTGGTAATTACTCATAATATAAATAAATACAAATCTTTAAATAAAAATTAAATATTTTCAAATATCTAATCAATATTCTTTTAGTATGATATTCTGAAATATTTGATGAGAAGTAAAAAAAATAATAGTGTGTAATTTGATCTACAATACAAATTTCTTTTATTCTTATCTATTTTTATAATGCAAATAACTTTACATTCGCAATTTCTAAATAATAATAAAAATAAAAAATGAATGTTATTTTATATACATATTATAAAAATTATTCAGGATTAACTAATCTATTTTAAACATTGCAATTAAATTAATTAAAGCAGTCCTTATTGTTTTTTAATTATTTACTTTTTGATAAATTTATGATTCATTTTCCAAACAACTTTAAATAATTTAATTAAATAACTATTAATTAAGTAACTATTTAAAAGCAAAAAGTAGAGTTAACATCACTTAAACAATCTCAGTAATGATTGATAAATCATCATTATAAAGCTCAAATTCAAATTTGCATAACTGTGAAAAGCTCGATCTAACAAATTTAAAAGGTAAAAGTGAGAAGGAAATAATATATGTATAAGCTTATGAGCTTAATTCTATTTAGAATGGGTCTGATTTGCTTGGCTTAAAGATAACAAGTCAAAATGTTGATAATAGCTTAGATATTAAAAATTGTTAAATTTTAGAGGATTCATCAAAATATTAAAAGATTAGTAATAACTAAAGTGAATCTTAATCCCAGAATATTAGCAATTCTTTTAGAAGAAGAAATGGATAATCTGCTTTACTTTCACCCATTTCTAATAAAGCGAGGTGCTAATAAGACCTTAAAAAGAGTTATCTGTTTTAATTAAATAAATAGGCTTTGAACAACAATAATAATATAAATAAAAATGGAAATTTAGGTGTGATTTTCAAATTTGACATCAAGCACTTATAAAGAGTAAGGAAGTAGATAAAATATTTTTATGATTTGTTTACTCAGAGCGGAAGAATATTTTATTTTGAGCAAAAAAAGATAAGAAATAGAATTAATGATAAATGTGATGCATTTGAGGATAAAAGCAATAAATTTTTAAAATTGTTGTACATACTTAATTAAAATTTACCTTTTCTTTCATCAATAATGAAAGTCCTCTCATCTATCCCTTTAATTGATCCGGATGGGATCTCAAATTTCATATTTACTTTTATCTTTTGTACTTATAACACATTATTTTATATATTTTATACGCTCTTTGGAATATTTAAAGCTCCTGAGAACATATGTATTGTGTTAGATTATGTCACTATTATATTTTGGATAGCTGAGATTTTAGTTAAGCTCAACACTAGCATACTTATTAATAAGCAGACTATAAGTAACAAGAGAAAAGAAATCTTTTTGAAATACTTTAAATAGCGATTCTTCTTTGACATTGTTCCTCTTTTAATGATTGGAGTTATTTAATAGTAGAAATATGAGGTTTAGCTTTTTTTGAGGTTAATTATCTGCATAAAGTTTAAAAATCAATTTAAAGACGCTGAAATGATTTAAAAATTCTTTGTGATGACATTCTAAAACTACTACGTCATATAACTAGTCAATTTAATTATTAAGCTGTTTTTAATAGGTCACACAATTGCTTATTTCTACTACATAATAGGTCTAGTAGAATTAGAGTACTTAGGAGAACCATAAACATGGTTTGGAGATAGTGTTTCTAATGATTTGGTATGGTGGAAGCTATATTTAGAGGCTTTATTTTGGTCTTTAACTCTGATGATAACAGGCTCAAATACAGCAACTACTGCATTTCAATAATTTTATGCCACATTTATTATGCTTTTTACATCTATTGTATTTGGGTATATTTTGAATGTGATTGGAGTTATTCTTGAAGAAATCGATGAAAAAAATGAAAAGAAGAGAAAAGATTTGAATGTAATAAATGAGTATATGAGACAAAAAAAAATATCAAAGTAAATTATATACTTTGATTAATAGATTATATTATAATTAATTAATTAATTATTTTAAATCAATAGGAATCTTTAGAAAAAAGTTAATAATAATATTGAATATTACTATGAAAAGAATTTAAAGAAAATTGATGAAGAAACTGGTTTAGTATTAAGCAAAATATCAAAAGAATTAAATGACTAACTTTTTGAAGAATACAGCAAATAAATCATATCTCGAATTCCTCTTTTAAAAAATAACTTTTCTGAAGAAGCTCTCAGTGAAATAAGATATTCTTTTGAAAAAGCTTTCTATCTCCCTAATTAAATGATTCATATCCAAAATAGTGACCATTCAAATGATCTTCTATTTATTGTGGAAGGATAAGGTAATATTTTTAAGAAATTTTGATATCTACTAATGAAAATGTGTTTAATAATCACTTGCTATTTTATAAAAATATGACTAATAAAGGTTATTGAAAAATTAACTGAAATTAAATTTCGTTAAATTTATTTTTTTATATTTGAAAAAGAAAAAATGAATAATTTATCTAATTCCTAAAATTCTTCCTTTAATGAAATATTTTTTTTTATAAGTTGAGGTAAAAAAAAACTTTGATTAAAGCTAACCTGATAAGTAGATAAAAATTTTCAAATGTAAAAAAGATAATACAGTAAGCGCTTTTAACTTTTTTACAGGGTTCAGTAGAGATTATTGTATAAAATCATTGGGTTTTACCAAAATTATTAAAATAAAAAGAGATGAATTCATCAATTATTTAAGGAAATACGAAAAAGATTTTGAAACATTTAATTAAATAAAAGATAAATTTATTTATGATAGCAATTTTGTAGATATTGGACATTAATGCCATTACTGTAATCAGAGAACTCATTTAGAAATTGAGTGTCCGTTTGTCTTTTTTAACAAGCAGCATTGTTCTTTAAAATCAGTTTTTTAAAAAAACAGAAGTTAAGAGAGATAGAAAATACATCGTAAAATGTTTAATATGAATTCTATTCTAAATAATAAAAAAGTAATTGACTCTACTATTATCTTCCTTTAAGATTTTTCTTTAAATCAGATTGAAGAAAATTAAAATGATATTTTAACTGATTTATTTTCAGACAGATTTTATGAAGATTCTTCAGTTGAAAATTAATTCAGTATTAAACTTTAAAATAATACCAATGATATTCATGATGAAAATGACATAAACAATAAACAAGAAATTAAGCATCAAATTAGTAGTGAAGAAGTCAAAAGTTAATAAAGCTCTAAAAAATAATTAGCTTTTCTAAAAAAAAGCAAAAACAATAATATTTTAAAGAAAGATCCTTTTAGGTCTGATTAGTTAAATATCTCTCCTCACATCATGCATATGAATAGCCGGAAAAATTATTTTTCTGAAATCTAAACATAGAATAGCTGTTGTGTTTAAAGTATCTACCAAATGTTAGTAATTTATCCAATCTTTTTCAATTTTTAATTATTAAAAAATCTTACAAAAAAAGGGCTTAAGAAATAAACAATAACTTAATTAACAAAATGAAAAAATTATTTTATATTTTACTCTTTTAAAATTGTAATTTTTATAATTTATTATTTTTACTTTTAAAAATATATAAATTTACAATTTAAGTCACATAAAATAAAAAATTTTTTTTATTAAAATATCAAAATTAACATTTAAATATTTAATTATTAATGTAATTTTAAATAGAATGATAAAATTTCAAGCGAAAATCAGAAAAACATGAATAATTTATCATAGATTACTCATAAAAACCTTTTAGCATAAAATTCTTAACAATTAGTTGAAGAAGAGGAACTTAGTTCATTAATTTTAAAAGAAAAAAAGTGCAAAAAATAAGATAATTAAATGAAGAGTGATAGTAAATAAGAATTTTAGGCCTTTTTTACAAAAAAAATATCTAAAATTAAGTCAAGCAATGTTTTAGATTAAAATGAAGAAAAATTTGAATGGCTATTTGAAAAGATGTAAGACTTTAAATATTACTACATAACTGGAAATTCTAAATTTATAATTAAAAGGCATAATAAATTTATTAAATAAAATAAAAAAAAGTACTTAAAAAATGAAAAAAAGCAGTGAATTAATATTTAGTATTTATATTTTATATATGAAATTTACACCTGTAAAATTTTTATGAATACATTTTTTATTCAAATATTAAATTTAATTAATAAAAATACTATCCAAAATTAGGGAAAAAATTTTTATTGCAATAGTTGATTATATTTTTATAAAAAAAATTAACTTGTTTTTTAATTAAATTTACTTAAAAAATTTATTTTTTTATTAAATTTTGAATATTTTTTATAATGAATACAGATAAAATAGGAATCAAAAACAGATTAAAAAATCTAACTTTCAAATTTTAAATAAAATAATATCCAGCTGAATAAACTTTTATCTTCTCATTAAAATTACTATCATTGATTTTAAATTGCAACAATATTCAAAAATTTAATTATAACAACTATACCTTTTAGATTTTTCATAATTAATTTATATTCTTGTTTATCATGAAAATTATCTTTATCTTTATAAAAAATGAAGTTCTAAATCATCTAAATTTATAAAAATTTCTTTTGTTATAAAAATTATTTGAGGTAGACAGATGCAATTCAATTAATATCTTAATCATCTAAATTTATAAAAATTTCTTTTATTATCAAAATTATTTGAGGTAGACAGATGAAATTCAATTAATATATACATAAGAAATCAAAAGAATTTATTTTTCTTATATTAATAAAAATTAATTGTAACAAGATCTTTGGTTTATAATCTATTGCACGATTTATTATCAGCTCAAATTAAAAAAAATAAAGATAAATTCTTATAAAAAATTGAAAAATCAAAAAATTCAAAAAATCAGGAAATCAAAAATCAATATGCAAAACATTATTGAAATTACAATAGAAAATTAGAAAAACTTTAAAGTTAAAATAATAGGAATATCATTATCTATCCTTTCAATATGCGAAGCTCTTTTGTTGTACTTAGATGGGGAAATTGATTCTCTCTGCTTTATGTTATTGATTTGGGGTGTTTCTAAGATAATGGCTGTAATATTGCTTTAAAAAAAGATTAAGCCATAATCATACTTGACTATTTTTCTTAAGTTAATATTTCAATGTGAATGGCTTATCGAAAACTGTTAAGCAGATTTTTAAAAATTAAAATCAATAATTTAAGTAATTTTTATAGTTTACCCTATTAGCTTTATAAATATTTACTTGATATCTGATAATAGAAATATTTTAACTTGGCTATACATCTTTATATTAACAATTAATACTATCGTAATATTATGGATAATAAGATAACTTTTTTCGGTTTTTTCTAATATTTGCTTTATTTACTTAATTACCCAAGTTTTTCTGATCAATAAGCAATTAGCACTTGGATTATTAACGATGAATTTAATAGCTTTTGCTCTGCATTATTACTATTTTGAGTATAAATATTATTAAGGGATACATTTTAAAAAGTTTTCAAGAAATTTAATAAAAATTTTACTGAACATAAAATTTCATAAATATATCTCTTTTTATACCTATTTCAATTAGTTATAGATTTTATAGGAATGGTATAATTTAACTTAATCATCTATTTAATGCCTCAATTTAATTATCTTATTTGTCTTAAAAATAATAAACTTCCCATTGCTTATTTCATATGATATAGTTTTTTACATATTTTATTTCTTAAGTCTTCCCGAATTCTATATACTAGGAGCAAGTATCTTAAATAAATTAACTAAAAAGAAGGACTATTAATTTGTATAAAAGCTACACAAGCATGATAACTTAAGTATATTTAATGATGCTTTATATAAAGTTAATAACGACAAATTTACTAAAAGCTGTAATATAACTATTAAAATAAATGCAGAAGACATTAGGAATTAAAATAGGCAAACAGTTTTTTCAAATATCTAAAAACTGAAAAATGTGATTAATAATGCAAACCAGAAATAATACTAGAAAACTTAAATTTAAATTTACGAAATAAAATCTAGTTTTATGATTGATATTAATTTTATGTATAATTTATACAATAGGATCCGCTAAACTATTAAATTAAATTTGAATTTCTTCGAAGATCCTCTATAATAGGAGCTTCTTTAAAACTTAATACCAGCATTGATTGAATAAAAGACAGAAGTAATTACTTATATAAATTAGTAAAAAGTTGTAGATTCATTGATAAATATGTCTTAATTTAGTTTGATATCTTATGATAATTAATGCTGTTAGAAAATTAATGAAGTTCTTAATCTTACAATAAGATCAATAGTTAGAAATAACTTATAGGTTTTAGTCTTTTTAATGAAAATATCATCAATATTTCCAATAAACCCGTAGCATCTATTATTTGATTTGTACTCAGTTGATGCATGAATTAATGTAAAAATTAATTTAAAAATACATTAAAAAAAATATGTATGTTCAATCGTTTTATTTATAATATTTAATTTTTTAAGTAATTATTTTTAGTTAATTATATAAATAAAGACTAAATTTATATACATTTCTGAGGTTTGTTTATGGTATTTTTAAAATTAAATATTTTGTCTAAATTAATTAATTAGCAGATAACCCAATTTTAATTATAAAAAAAATTAAAAATTTAATTCCTAAATTTAAGTTTTTAAATAAAGATTTTATAAAAAAAATTTTTTAATACAAAAAAATTACTTACTTATTTATAATAGTTTCACAAATATTCAGATTTAAGATTTGAATAATTAATTATTTTAAAATGAATAAATTCTTTTTATAAAAAAATCAACTTTTTATTATATAATAATTATATATTTATATAGAATAATTCATAAAATCAAAATAAATATATGATGATATTTATTAAATTTATAATTGTAAATAACGAAATAATTCCAAAAGAATTATTTGTTGAACTTCCTTAAAAGGCAAATGTTATAAGATTATTAGGATCTTATTATCCAATAGGTGCTATATTCGTTTATACAGTATTCAATACAGAAGATTTGTTAAAAAATATCTTTATTCCTAGGTTATCAGATATGCTTATTTGCTCTAATATGCCGTTTGAATACTAAACTTAAATTAGATTAGAATTTATTTCCCAGATGCATTAAGGGTATAACATACTTTTTTAAGATTATTCAATTGTGGATTATATGAGGAATATACCTTGTTATTAAATAGAATTAGAATATAAAGCTATTTTCTGCAGAGTGTCGCTATAGTATCCAAAGAATAAAGTATATTTAGAACCTTTAAATCCTGAAATATAGTTAGGAAAAGCATCTTAGTAGTAGTACTAATAAGCTTAACTTATTACTAATTATCCACTACTATTTAATAAGAAAGTTACATCATAGATATAATTATTTTCAATTGCGATTCTAAATTAAGTGTCTGTGTACTGCTCGATTGATAAAATAAATTATTTTTCTGGTAAAATAAAATTAAATTGCTACAAAAGAGTTGCTAAATCATAGACATCGATATTTTCTGTTGATCTCACTTAGGACTAGATTATACCAGTAGGATAAATTGTTACTTAAAGGTTGAATTAAAATAAAAAGTAAATACTATTTTGAGAATAGTATGAGTATTTTTACTATATAATATTAGCTTATTTACTAATATTATCTAAAGTGATCAATGAAATTTAAGCTTATCCTTTATAATACAGATTTAACTAATTATTAGCACTAATTATTCTTTAAATCTAGGGAATAGGTATTTACTAATTAAGCTAATAAATATTCGGGGCAGAAACACCGGTATTAATTATTAGTCCAGAAGTCTAATTATATTAGTAATTTATTTGATATTGCTTGATTTAATTTATACAAACGATGTATAATTAGAATTGATAGTTTTATTATTAGTCGATTTAAAAAGATCCATTATCATCTAAAACAGCGCATCCATTAAATTACCCTTGGATCGTAAAGAAGACGCTTTTAATTTAATTTTACTCTATAGTAGCATTGTATTTATATTAAATTGTAAAAGCCTAATTCTATTGTGGCATGTTTGTGTTTGACATTCTCTAAACTACTTCAGAAATTGAGTCACTTTACCAACCTAATAAGCATGCATTGAATGTTTACCAGTCTTCAAAATAGAAAACTTATCCACTAACATAATTGGTGTCTTGTATTTAAGTTCTTACTTAATTCAAAGTACTTGCTTGGTTATTAACAACACCATATTATGTGCTAGCATCTCTATTAATTACATTAGTAATTAATAATGAACTGGTTTCTTACAACAACTTTTAACCTGAGTTCTGAGTAATTCTTTTTATTTATTACTCTTTGAGTAGCTTTAATTAACTCTTACTTTATTTACTTGAATCCATTAATGAAATTTAAATTTAGGCGATATGAGATAAGGTTGAAGTAAATTCAGTTTCATTTAATCCTATTTAACATAAAATACTTGCTTCTGGAAGTATACCTGTATAAGACTCTGGGTTCATAACATATAATAGATTAGAAGCTACTACTGCTTAGCTAGGATTAAATGTTAAAGTCGTGTAGAGTTAATTAGACCATTACTTACTATTTATCCTATACATATAATAAATATCTGTTTTTGTTGATAAAACATAAGCGAATTCATTTTCTGTCTGTCTCTTAGGTATGATTATTCCTTAACTGCTCACAGGATGATCACTATCGATTTACAAATTTCTCATAAAGGTTGGAGTGTTAGTCTTAAAGCCATTATATGAATATTAAGCAATTGTAGTGAGAGGATTGGAAATAACAGTTATCAAAAAGGAGTTCTTAAACAAAGTCAGTTATTAAATTGTACCCTAAACTAAAGTTGGGACATTGATATAGCCAATAAATCCAAAGTTTATGTAATCATAAGCTTGTATTATTGTACTATTATACATAAATAGTAATCCTTAGATACAAATTAGATTAGTTATCTATTAAGAATTCGAGCTTATAACTGTAGTGCTTACTATTTACGCAATTCCATTAGTTTTATAAGGTCTATAAAATTATTGAACAATATTTTAACCACAAAAAGTAAACAAAACACTATAAGCAGGATCAGATGCAAACAAGAAATTATTTTCTGAGCAATTTACAGGTAGATTGTTAAATTATAATTATCCTCCTACTGTATCACGAATAAATGGGACATAAACATAAAATGAAGGTGATTATGGGGTTATTTTCAAAGTGAAAGAGCCTTAATTATCAATTTAATTCAAGGGGTATTAAAATTCTATTTCGCTTCTATAAACAAGAAAGTTAGCACTAGATTAACCTATGCTTCCCATATAAAATGGATAGATTGCGTATAAGTAATAGGCTTATTATGATATACTTGTAGGACAAACGAAAATAGATGAAAAAAACCCATCTGTTTAGTGCGATGTGCAGCTTTCATCAATTATCATTTAGCTAGGTCCTTTCATGCTAAATTATTTCATTAAATTAGCATTTTAGATTATGCCCTGAGCTTATTAATTTATTTATACTTTTAAGGCTAAATCAGCTCCTATGATGTAATCCTCAATAGGGATAGTAAATTAGTTTTCTTGTTTAATATTTGAGAAAGTGTTCTCCAAAATGGCTTCACTTTAAGCGAAAAGGACTGTATTCTGTTAAACAATTTACACATTTATTGATATCTTATAAGTAGTAGAAGAAACTGTCTAGATGGATAGTTAAATAGGTTATGTGGTAGAAGAAGTTGTTTGAATTAAAAGGGAAGGCATATTTACTTCAGCTACAATAGTTGTAAAGTACTTATCATTAGAATCATAAATATATAATATTATCTAATTTCCTAAACTTTCAACGAATTTAACAACAAATCCACTCATACTAACTTAGATTTGATAAACTGCTACTTATTTTTTTATATCAAATAATTATATGGAATTATTTATTTTGGAATATGCAACCATAAGTTTAGAAGATACAAAATCAACTCTTGGTAAAAACTGATTGATAATTGAATATGAAGAGTAACTAAATGGTTCATTAATAACACCATCGTTTGAATTTATTTCGTGAACAGAAAAACTATTAGAGCTCATTATTCCTATGAGAATATTATTTCCAACTCTTTTAATTAAAGGTATACCAAATTCATTTGAAGTCAAAGGAAATGCGTCCAAAATAAGTTTTTCAGATGAAAAATCAACAGATGCAGTTTTTATTTAATTCTCACCTAAATTACGACAATAGTTAAAAAAGTACCTTCCAGTGTCAATCAACGAGAAAGAAGAATTACAATTTTCACCAATCTTCTATAAGATTTGTGAATTGAACTATGAATCAAATTTAATCAACCAATATTCAGTATTTTCTATATACTGAATGATATAAATTGAGTTATTTGAACCTAAAATTGCAACATGCTGATATAGTTAAACACCAGTAAGAGGAATTATTTGTGCTGAACTCTAGCTATTTATAAGGAATCTAAAAGACTTGACAATATTTGTTCCTAATTAATAAGATATGAATCCTTAGTTATATGAAAAGAAGCTACCATACAATTACTAAGGTATCGAAGAAACTTCATCAATTAGAAAAGGGGTAAATGTAATTTACTTAACACAAGAGCATGAAGGATCGATGCTTAATTATTGATAAACCAAAAAAAGCTATATTGTTTGTTAAGAAGTAGTCTGCTACTGTATTTCTATGTTGAATTTTGTTGAAGGACCATAATTAAAAGTTGCAAGAATTTCCAACAAAGGAGGTGAATCTTAGTAAGTAATGAGTGGTACATAGGGCTAGACGATCTTATATGAATCAGAAGGATTAACACTAAATTATATTGCTGGTTCATTAATAAATTCTGAGAAGCTCTAAACATATGTTTCATTCGATTGCAAGCGAAGAAGTTTCTACTTGTTTACTGTTTAAGATTTTACAAAACAAGCTATTAGCAATAGTAAAAGTAAAAAATGGATATTTTTCTTTACTCTTCTCATTATTTATAGATTTTATGCTTTTGTTATTTAATTAATTTTTGTTTAATTTTCTCTTGTGTTTAATAACATCAGTTTTAAAGGTAATAAATACCATATGTTTAATTAGATAAGGAAGATATTAAATTTGATAATTCGCATTTTTATTTACTAAGATTAAAATCAAAATCTAATTTTGAATGATGTTTTGTAAACAAATATTTTTTTAGATATATCCAATTGATGATTTCTGAGTATATAGTTAACGATTATATAAAATCCGAAAGAATATTGTTATAAATCATTATGCTTTTGATTTTTGATTATTGTTTACTTTTTAATGTTTATAGATTTTAAAATTCAAACAGTAGAATCATTTTCATAAAAATGAAAAAGTGAAAAATATGTATAATGATTATTAATTAAAAAAAAACATTTTCATTTTTTATCATTATTATTATCATCCCTATTTTTTTAACTTGCAATTAAATTTTACTTATTTTGTTTAATAAAAAAATTAACTCAAAAATTTGATATTAAAATAAATTTTAATTTTTCCTATTTAAAAACAAGCAGGGTTATTTGAGTAAAAATCTTTAAAAATTAAAAATAAAAAGTTTAATTATTAAACTTAATAAAATAAATTATCTAATAAAATTTAATTCATTAAAAAATATTTTTATTTTCTAACACCTTTATATATTTTTAATAATAAAGTATTTTTTTGTCACTTTTTATATTAAAAATTTAAAAATGTAAGCTGATATAGTAAAAAATTTAGAAGCTAAATTTAATGTAATTTTTTCCTACTCTCGTTAAAAAGATTAGGAGATATATTTAATTTGGGTTTTTCCCTATTCTTTACCTAATAATGATAATCAGAATCAAATTAAATTAAGATTAGCCCTTATAATCTGTAAATCTTTTATGATATAGAAAAATTTTATATTTGAAGTTTTTATCATTTATTAAGATATTATCTCTAGATTTTTCTATTTTAACAATTAAATTTTTATCTAATGAAAAATATCAAATAAATATTTACAAATTTTAAATAGTTTTAAAAAAAAATTAGATTTATAAGTAAATTAGTTTTATAAATTAACATAATTAGAATTTTATATAAAAATATATTTGTTAGTATATGTGATTCTAAACAATTAAAATTATTAACAAAGAAATGATTTAGAATAATATATAAATATTATTTATTTTATTACAAAAATTATTAAATTACATTTATTTATTAAAGATTTTTAATATAGTAAAGTTCATCTATAAACTTTTGATATTAAAAACAAAATAATTACACTTAAAGCATTTTTTTATGTTTTTATTTTTAGTATTTATTAAGACTTTTATTTGTTTGCTATTTACTAATTTTATAAATAACTTAAACTAATATAAATATTTAATTTATTTAATTCTTTAAAAATACAAAATAAAATTAAGAGTAAAATATTTTACAAACTAAATTATTAAATACACGAAATTTAAAAATTAAATTCAATATAATTAATTTTTTGATTTAAAATCTATTTTTTTTTACAATTTTTAATTGAAACAACAATTACTCTTATCTAAAATTTACCTCATATTGTTGTTGAAACTCCCTCATATTTTGAAATATTTTCTAAAATGAATTTAGGCTTCTTTAAAAAATTTTTTTCGAACTTTTTCCAAATCTTTCTTAGCTAATAAGAAGGTTTTACAGTTTATGTAGATTTGAACGAAATATATACTTAAAACCTTGTTATTTTTCTATTTTTTCATTATGAGAAATGTAATTAATTATTTCAATTTATAGAAAAAAGAATTCTTTTACATAAAAAATACAAATTATCTGCTTGATTTAAAAAAAAATGGTATATCTATCAAATAAATTTATTTTTAAAAAAGAAAAAAAAATTT